AGTGTTTTTAACTTTTCTTTATCTTTATCCCTACCATAGGGACAGAATCCTTCCTCAACTACATAAGTTGTGGGAGTTCTTTGTGAAACCTTGAGCCCAATACCTTCTCTAAGACCAAGGTGATTTCGCTGTTCTGCAAGGTGTTCTAACCTCTGAAATAACTCCTCTATCCTACCATTCATGCCATTGTAATTAAAAGGAATACGAGAGGTAGAGAGGAAATTGCACACCTGGGTGTGCTTAGTCTGATCTGCCGACGCAAAGCTTCAATATCCATCTCATCCACCAAGTCCTTGGTATCGAACACAGCATCTTTGACTCGTCAAGCCACATCCCCACAGCAGGGTTGACAATCTGCTTCTCTTCTGCATCGTTGAGCACTGCGTGGAGGGTCATCAACGTCACCTTTAGCTTGTCCACGAGTGAATGGTTGAGTCTTCTTGCCGGAAGAAGTTCACAAACTCTCCGGAGGCAATCTTGTCGCACAGCACCTGGATGGAACCGAAGAGCAAAGCCTCTCCAACCAAAGCCATTTTCTCTCTTCGTGGCCAAAGGACTAATTTTGATCAAGTATTTGAAGTTGGGAAACTGAAAATTGTTCTTGGCAAAGGCTGTTAAGATTACTTCATGACTGGTGAGATGACTTGATAATTTTTTGTCAATAATGCAGTGGACCACACACGGCAAACATAGTAAAAAAGAATCATGCAATGTATTTGGATATCAACATTTTTCCGTATGATATGATCACGTGGACCCCACCCATCCTCTTGTCACCATCCTCCACCATCCTTTTGTCATTATTTCTACTCTAATTCCAAAGCATCTTCGTGTGAAAATAAAGTAAGAGAGTTTCGGGATAACCTCAATATTATGTATCATTTAATGTACTGTATTAATAATTGGACTCAATTTCTACAATTATTATTTACTTTTTATATTTTCAAGCTCAACCTCTTATTTTCTACAACACTCAATACCACGTGCTACGGATATTTTTTTTTTTTGAAAAGTTTCTTACTTTTTCTTGCTTTGCCTATATATTTTCAACATTTATGGGATCATTCGTGTTCAGGATTTGGTTTGCATATATATTCAACATTCATGGGACCATTCGTGCTTTGCCTATATTTTCTTCGGTTAGCCAATTTTGTGTCAAGGTTTCCATGTTTTTGCACAAACTATTAAGCAAACACTCTAGTTGCATACTTATATTGTCAAATTATCGAATTTGATACTACAAAATTATACAAAAGTATACGTTATCGCTCTTTAATTCAGATTAACAGTGCGCTCCCTCTTCTGCATCTAAATTTAGGGCTGGTTCGGTATAGGATACCGAACCGAAATCCTTGTCCCAATTCCCAAACCGAAGTTTTCGGGAATCCCAATTTCAAGACCAATCCCAAACCAAAATTTCGAGAATCCCGAAATAGTTTCGGGGATTTCGGGACAAATCGGGAATCACGAAATAGTTTGGGCTTTTGGGCATGTGAGGAAACAATTAAGGAAACAATGAAGATAAAGAGAATTAAAGAGTATGAAGATAAAGTACTAACCTTAACTCGTAAACCTTAAGTACTCAAAAGGTCTTCCTAATCCAATCAAACGGCTGCAAAACAAAATTACAAAATATTAGACTTAATTGTTAGATTAATAACTTATAAAGGCAAAATAACAATGATGCAAACATAGGCTCTGGGAAAGTGCAAAAAAACAGTGGCTGACGATTTTAATTCTTTACCTTTACAGGATTATGATCATCTGCTAATGATTGTAATTCTTTCACACAGAGCAAATTAAAACAAATCTCCAATTGTGCTACTCAGTACCTAAAACAGTATAGCACGATTTTGAAATTATAAACCGATTAAAGTTTCAGCAACAAGCAGATTACTCAATCAGAAAACACATTCATCAGGATTTGAACCCATGGGAATCGGCTGTAATTAATAATTATCAATAACTAAAAGCAATGAACCAGAAATTCTAGCAAAAATAATTCGCAATTGCAGAAATACAGTAAAATCTGCATTCCAATCAAACAGAGGGCATGGAAAATCGAAGTGTGGATGGGAATTTACAGAGCTGGACGAGCCAAACTAAATTTCAGGCCTAACTAGTAACTACATCATTATTCAGACACAATCCAAAACAATACTGCTATGTTATATATTGTAAACAAAATTAGCTTACTGTAACTCAACCATTGAAGCCCACCAATCCCCCTATAATCCAAAACAACACCTTTCTCCTGCAGGTCCTGCACTGCACCCACCCTAAACCGGAACCTATCCAACCTGAAACCCTCCCAAAAACCTGCACCCAAATCCGAAACCCACAGTCCTCAAACCCTCACACATTCGACAAAATGCTCGGAAATCAAGTTAATCAACATGAAATTTGACCTTAAACCCTAAAGAAAAACCCAGTGAAAATCAGAAACCCTTACCTGGATTTTGGGTCTCGATTCGTGTCGGACTCGCATCTTCCTGCGTCTGTGTGTGTGGCCGGATGAGCGCCGTTGAAGTGGACGGAGGAGCGGCGTTCGAACTGGACGGGCTTGACGGAGGACGGGAGGAGCGCTGGAGCGCCGTTCGACCTTTGTTCTTCGAGAGAGTGAGAGTGAGTGAGCGATTGAGAGAGAGAGGGGGAATTAACTTACAATGGACGGTAGGATTTAATCTTAACCAATCTAACGGCCCAAGTAATTTCTAATTATAAATTAAAAAAAAAAAATATATATATATATATGTTCGGTTCGGTTCAGGATGACCGAACAATTTCAAAGATAAGGCCGAATCCCAAACCAAAACTTTCAGGATAGTTCGGTTTCGGGAAATACGGTTCGGAACGGTTTGGGATTTTCAAGAAAAAATTTCATCCTTATAAATTTGAATCACTATTCTTATCTCTATAATTTAGATGAGTTTATTATAAATTATCTTATCATTTGTTAAAAAATCCATTTCATAAATAAGTAGATGTGATATGCTTAAACACAAATATGTAACAAAAACAATGGAAAAGAATAAGTACAAAAACAGAATCGTTGCCTTTTTATCTTTAGGTAAAATAGAGCACCAAGATGGTCAATCTCACTATGCTGCAGAGAAACGATCCCTTTATCAAAAAGGTTCTGATTACGGCCGTCCACGTCACCTTCTACGAATTCAACATCAAGAACAATCAATGGGTTCGTTTCCCGAATCATAACTTCCAGTTCTCCATTTGGTTGCCCAAAAAAAAAAACCACAATTAAATCTTCAAACAACGGAAATTTGAAGCATAAAGTGCTAACAAATAGGTGGAAATGTGACACAGATGTTAGCAAACTTTATGGTCTTCAATCTTGATAATTTATGCACACATTGGAATCCAAACTTCATATATTCGCTTATATTTGTTGATCTCTTGGCACATCTATACTAAATTGTTTGGTATTAGTCTTTTTTTATTCATATTTCAATTTTGTAAGTAGAAAAAGTATCTTTGTAAATGAAGATATCAAAAATAAAATAAAAATTTGTAAATTGCGCCAAGCACATGTAATTATAAATTTGTAAGTCAAGCGTAGCACGCCTGATTAAAGATCTCTAATCAATGTACCATTGTTAGCACGCTTGATTAAAGGCCTCTAATTCATGTACCAATTGTTAACAATGATAAATAACTAACGCAACACATTTTAGGGGTGGGTAGCGCTTGTGATTAAAAAAATGCCTAACGTGCATGCAAAGAAGCTAGTTTAGAGTAAATAAAGAAGACTGTACATACGCAAATGTGGGATAAGTTAAGGGTGGATATGGGGCAGACTAGACTCAAAATTGAAGCAGACGGACGACGGACCCATTTGTAAATGAAATGTTGCAAGGCAGGGTGGGTCTTGTTAGTTGAGAAATGAAACCGGACTTAACCTGGCTCGTTTGAACGAACCGATTCCTACATTTTCACAGGTTCTTTTTATATATATAATGTTTGTTAATAAATTATGACAGTTGTGCTTGAAGTAAAAGCTAGTGTGCTTGAACAAAATAGCTGTTGTGCTCTAAGTCAAAGCACAATAAATTATAATGGAGTAGCTTACCATCACTTTCCAATTTTCATAAGTTCCAAGTGAGCCGAAGGCAAAGGCAAACAGTCAGCCAAAATGCCCAACTGAAAATATAGAAAAGAAAGTACACAAACAGCAAGTTAGGCTATCTCCAACCGAGGACTGGTCAGATGGCTCGTTTTAATCATCTGGCCCTCCAAGATATTAATATTTTAAGGCCATCTCCAACCGAGGGCTGGCCAGAGGGCTCATTTTAGCCCTCTAGCCCTCCAAGATATTAAGGCCATCTCCAACCGAATGCTGGCTAGAAGGCTCGTTTTAGCCCTCTGGCCCTTTAAGATATTAATATTTTAATGAACAGTACAGGACCATATTTGCATCAATCTCCAACCGAGGGCCAAAGGGCCGGAAGACTCATTTTAGCCCTGTCACAAAATACTACCCCTCGGTTGGAGACGGTTTTCGGGCTATTTTTGGCCCTCTGGACAAGCCATCTCCAACTGAGGGCTGACCAGAGGGCTCATTTTAGCCATCTGGCCCTCCAATATATTAATATTTTAATGAACAGTACATGGTTATATTTGCCTCCATCTCCAACCGAGGGCTAAAGAGTCATAGGGCTCGTTTTAGCCATGTCACAAAAAACCTTCTCCAACTGAGGGCGATCGGAGGAGGCCGAAACGCCTCTGTGAGTCTTTCTAGCCCCTGAATAGGTGGACATGGCTAAGCCATTAGCTAGTCTCCTTTTTAATAAGATAAATATATATATATATATATAGACACACACACACACACATTTGCTACACCAACTACTATAGATAAGTCCACATTAGGTTAGATTACAAAATTTAAACTTAAAAGCCGCAGACTTGGGTGGCTAGAGCAGTGTGGTTCGAATCTTTGTTTTCATATCTATAATTTAGATGAATTTAGTGTGGATCATCTTATCGTTTTTTCATAAATCCCGCTTAACGAATAATTCAATGTGATATGTTTAAATGCAAAACTTGAGCGAAACACAGTGAAATGATTAGAAACTATCTCCACCACAAATCTGTACCAAAAACAATGGAAAAGAACAAGTACAAATGTTTACATGAGAGAAGTTGTAAGGACTTGGATTGTGAGGGTCATCTCCACTTTGAAAGTAATAGCTGAAAGTTGAAGGTTCATGCAGATTAAACCATTCGCCATTGATGAACACCTCAAAAGAGGGAAACCAGCCCTGCTGAAAGTTTTAAGTACAAAATTAAAAAATAAACAGTTCAAAGATCCGACTTTGATTTGCATCAATGAAAGTTGCAACAAATGCGAACTATATTGCCTCAATCTTTTCAATTCATATTCTTTGCCCACCTCTTGTTCAGAGAAGAACAAACTTTTTGGTGATCCTCGGAAAAGAAAGAGATGGCGGCAAATCCTCTTCTGGCAGGAATGCAAGACAATCGATGATGCATAGCTGAGCTGAGGTCCTTCTCCGGGCAGGAATTCCGAGAGTGCGTGGTGTTTTGATCCACAGATTTCAAACTTGATCGTCCAGACGGTGTGAGTGGAAGAGAGCCGCTGTTGTTTGAGCAATGTCTCCAACAGATCCTCACGTCCCCTGATCTGAAATTCTCCAAGGGAGACATAGCACTGTTAAAAAATACCCGATATTATAAATGCAAATATAGACAAGGCAAAATGAAAAAAGCAAAAGAAAAGGAAGGTAAATTACAATTTACAAATCATCAGTGTTAAACCGAGAATCGATATTTATCCTTCTGGTGAAATCTGTAGCGGAACAACCAGCCTCCTTGTCAGCCTCCTTGTATGGTAACGCAATGTACTGGCATTCATCCAAACACAGTTAAGTGGTGCTAAATACAGATAAGTGTCAAATTAACTTTGAAGACAATCAATTCTGTTGGAAAATTTGAGGACAATCAATTTAACATAGCTACAGATAAGTGGTACTAAATACGTACCAAGCTTTGTCTTGAGAGTTGAGAGTTAGAGTGAAATGAAGGCTCATATGGTGATTTCATCATCTATCCTTATGCAAGGAATACGAGATATGTTTCTCCAATCTTTTCCCTTCTTTTTCCGATACATCTTCTTCAGGAAGGACAACCCCAGATGCTGAGATAAGAAAGATATGCCGGCAAACCCTCTTTCGGCAAGAATTGAAGACTCTTGCAGCTCAAAATTTGTAGCTGTTGAAGAGAAGTGAGGTGCTCAAGTCCCTTTTCGTCCAAAGATTTCAGATTCCATACATAAGAGATCCAGAGAGTGTGGAGAGTGGCAAGGAGCAGGTGTTCATTGAGCAACGTCTCCATCAGATCCTTGTTTCCTTCGATCTGAAATTAATTGGCTCCTGTAGGAAGACTTCGTATTAACCACCCAACATAAAATGAACTTAAAGGTAGTCATTACAGAACAAAGCACACTATGGTTCATGAGCAAACTTAAAAGTAATCATTACAAGTTATGACTATTACTAAGATTAAAGTTTTTTAGGGTGTCAAAGATTCGCCTCATCAAAATCTTGTGGGAGATTTCAACCCAGTTGAAGAAAAAAGAGTACCACACACCAACAAACTACAAGTTATGACTATCTAGCTTGTATTAATTAAAACATCCAAAATAATGTCCAGGGGAGTCTTCAAACTATAGCAACTCTTGATATCATGCAAGTCTATGTGCAACATTTTTTGGCCTCTCGTCTCACATAATATTGGACCAAACGCAGAATAATCCTTCTTCTTTTGCCACAGTCCCGCCAAAGATAGAGTGGAATTACTCTCCACTTCCACAGCTGCAGCCGCCAAATCAGCCGCCATCGGCAGCTAACGACGCAGTGTTCTGGCCTAAAACGTATGTGGTAGAGAAAAATGAAACCCCACGCGAGCACTTGCTGCAATGCAGCAACAAAGTGTGGCTGCATACGAATCAGAAAAACAAATACTATATATTAAGAGAAACAATGAATGGACCCCTTAGCGACTGTGAAATCCTGCTATGTGCGATAATGTACATGACGCACTTCCACGGTTGAGTTGCTACTTACCAAGAAGGTTTCTAAATTTGAGAGTCCATTGCTCCAACTTTCACCATCAAACTTGGGTTAAGGCGTATCATCGTCAATTTCTCCAGGGCATCTTCCTCTAGAGAGGTTAACGAATCAAATGATTGCCTGCATATAAAGTAAGCAAATCTGCAATGTTCAAAAAAAATTTGCTTCGTTTGTTAACTTGCTATGCGAGTCACACGACATCACACACGCTAATATAAAGAAAACATTGCATATTCTCTTGATTGCTCATGAAATCCACAATGGTGAGAAGAATGCTATAACCTCTCAGTTCCCTTGATCACTACCAGGAGATAAGATGTTCATTGGCGGCAACAATAGGCACAACTTTGTTTAAGGTATGTGATATATATATATATATATATATATATGTATATATTCTTTAAGGAGAGTAAGTGGATGCAGAATTTTGATGAAAATGTAGGAAAAGAACGCAGAGCTTGACCTTCACACGCTTTCTACCGTTTCATTATAAATCGAACTGTGACAAGCATGTTTTCTCTCAAATCCATTTCAATAGGATGCCAACTCAACCACTTTCCATTTTCATACCTCAGCTTAACAAGATACTCCTAAATTCAAAGATGATGAAATTATTATTGATACATTTATCTTAGAAAACAAGCGAATGGAATACCAACAAACACAGAGCTCAACATAAGAATTATCATTCTTGTGAAATCCATCGCACACCAGCCAACCACTTATTCAAGTAATATCATTTACTGGAATACCAACAAACACAAGCATGACGACACTGCTACAAGGAACAAGCGCTCTGTTCGACCACTTTGTCTGTACAAAAGCACATCTGCACCCATTCGAAGATAAGAATGACATCAAGAGAAGATGAAAAGGCATGTCTCCCATACTCAAACTATAAACAGTATTAGAAGAAAAAAAATATCATTCCAGGGATTACCTCGACGATTAAAGGAGAATTATATTCATGCCAGATAACTGGAGCTAGCACCATTCAAGGACAACCAATTGATGCATGTTTAAATCGTTGGCTGTAGATAATCCTATCTTTACAAGTCCAGAGTTGCTAGCTGCATCAATAAAGCCGACAAATACGTTAGTCCCATTGTGTTGTCCTGACTGATTGCATAGTTGATTTACATTGATACATAAAGGACGAACAAATTACACTCAAGTGTTCAATTACTTACACTGAAATCTGTAGGCGCAGCAGCCAGCCACCAAGTCTAGTTACACTGGCATTCTAGCAAGCGGTGCCAATAAGCCATGCTCTCTCCAACCGTTGTCTTTGTAGAGAAAGAGAAACATATGTATACGAACCTACCACAAGATGACAGAGGCACTGAAAGATGAGTAAGCATTCTGCCGTATGGAAACCACAGAAGTACATATATTATACACAAGCACTTGAGTGGTTGATGTAAGCTATCATTTTCCCTCTGATAATCCTACCTTTACAGTTCAATAGTTTTGTCTCTGGACCGACAAAGTCCCACATACGTTCAGTCTTATATAGCTGTTCAAGCGAGCTGAGGTCTAGAGGTCCCCGTCCTGGAAGGAATTGCGAGAGTGGGAGGCGTTGAATTGAAAGTCCATTTTGTAACGCCCCGATTCCGACATACATCCAGGATCGACACGTGACGTCACCAAATACCCGTATCTCAACATACCCCGCTTCCGGGATATGGCAAATCACAACTCGAGAATCGAATTGCATAGTAATTTTTTTGTATACTTTATTACTGCATCTAACCTCATCGTTAGACTGCATACGTACCCTCAACAGGAATCAAGCCATTTGTAGTTCGTCGCACTTGAACAATCATCGCTTAAATCTCTATGTCTCAACATAATACCACGATTCAGATATGCAACATATCAAGGAACATTCAACGAAGCACAATAATATTCTCTAGTCATGTCATTTACACACACATAAGCTTTCAAACGCCATTCAATAATCACAGCAATCAATAACACATACAATACATCAAAATGCAGGGTTAAAGCGACACCGTTCGGTTGAAGCCTACATCTCTGAAGTTGAAATCAAATCCAATGAACCAACAAGTCAAATGCTACGATTTCGGACCACTCAACGAAGTCCATTAACATCGGGTTTTGGACCACTCAACGAACTCGCGAAGTAGAAGGGATTCTGAACCATCACTCAACGGAATCCAAGTGGATACGATTTCAAACCATCACTCAATGGAATCGCGAAGTTGAAAGGATTCCAAACCATCACTCAACGGAATCCAAGTGGATACGATTCCGGACCATCACTCAACGGAATCGCAGAGTAGAAGGGATTCCAGACCATCACTCAACGGAATCCAAGTGGATACGATTTTGGACCATCACTCAACGGAATCCAATTGGATACGATTCCAGATCATCACTCAATGGAATCGCAAAGTAGAAGGGATTCCGGACCATCACTCAACGGAATCCAAGTGGATACGATTTCGGACCATCACTCGACAGAATTGCAAAGTAGAAGGGATTTCGGACCATCACTCAATGGAATCCAAATGGATACGATTCCAGACCATCACTCAACAGAATCGCAGAGTAGAAGGGATTTCGGACCATCACTCAACGGAATCGCAGAGTAGAAGGGATTTCGGACCATCACTCAACAGAATCCAAGTGGATACGATTCTAGACCATCACTCAACGAAATCACAGAGTAGAAGGGATTCTAGACCATCACTCAACGAAACCCCAGTGGAACCCAGTTCGGGACACTTAATGGAACCAAGCGGAAGTCCAAGGAACATATCAACGGCTCGAAGAAACAAGACATGAATCAAGTTACTCAAGTTACAAAGGCTCAACGAAATGAAACAAAGCACAAGTATTAAATGTAGAATGGCTCAACGAAACGAGAAATGAAATAATGAACCGAGGGGTGAGACATGTATCGAAGCAACAAACCCCATGACGATGGGTTAACGGTCCACTACTAGCCCTCACTTTTCATCACATCAATCCAAATATACAAAACAAACCATATTTCCAATATGCACGTCAAATCACAATTAATAAACATAGATCGATGCTAAAAATAAAAATAACACTTCAATAGAAAGCACATTTAATAAACAAGTATAACTCAATATGGTGCCACCAATACATATATCGAGACACACGTCAACCGAGAACGACACGTCATTGTGATAAGCTAACTAAGTTCCATCAAGCCTCAACAACAAACTAGAGATAAACGACACTCTAGAGTATAGCACGTTGACTAGAACGTCAACCGTCGATAAGGTAAGTCCATTAAGATCAACAATCTAAGGTTATTCAATCCGGAAGATCCGCACATCGGATTTCCAATCCGTAAGTTCTCAAAGGTCCAACAATTGATAACTAGGGTGCTCACAAAATTGTACGACGATCCACGATCGAATTGTCGTCAATACAAACAAGTGGTGGTCCAATTTGATCACCACAACAAACAATTGAATTTCAGGAAACCGAGCTAGACGTAGGTTCATAGGGTCACTAGAAGGTATTTGGAACTTAGACAACACTCGTGGACGGTTCCACGCACCTCTACACGCGGTGGTAGCCAAGGTGGAGGGTTTTGAAAATCTGAATTTTCAACATTAACTAAATAAGCTCAAATTTACGTGGTAGCTAAAGCTCAACAAGGGAAACACTTTTCAAAACTCTAAAATGAATATGAAAGTACGAACCAAGCATACCAACTTGAAGATTATGAAGAGTAGATGAAGTTTCATACCTCACTCGAAGGAAATGGTTGCCGGAATCACCGGAAAAATGACAAAATCGCCGGAAACCCACGGAACTTTGCTGTCTAGAACTAGAAAAATGGATTAAAAAAATTGGGAAATCTAACACTACAGAGATGTAGGGTTCGTCAAGAGTTTTTCATGGACACCAAGATCACCCAAAACGAAGATCGGATGAAGGAGATACAAGCGAGTCAAGTTTGTGGGTTAACGAATCAAATTCTCCCCCAAAATGAGTTAGCAGCAGCCCCCCCCTCCCCCCCCTTTTTTTTTTTTAAGAAACCTTCCCCCTTTTTAATTTGATTGGTCATCTGTTCAACCTTTACTTCTGATTGGCCACAAAAGCACATACCTCTTTGGGTTTTTTCCCTCAAAGTGAGAGTTTAAATAATTTCTAAAATTTATATTTTAGTAACACAACTTCAAACGTCCGTAACTATACCGTTATAATCCGGACTCGCAAATGGATTTCGCCTATGCATTCGTGGTTTCGAGATCTATTCGAAAATATAAATTGTAACCTCTAAAGGTCTACGAATTTTAAATAATTACTGATCAAAATTCAAACTTCGTAATTAGTTTAATTAAAATCTAAAGTTAATATAAATTTCCAAAAATAATATAAATTCTCCTTGATACCAATACATAGTTTGCAATAGTGAAATCCAGGAACAGAATTTCACACATTTCCACCCAAAAGATTTCAAACTTGACAGTCCAGAAAATCAGAGCACCTTTTGATAATCCTATCTTTACAGGTTTGCTTGCTCGCTGCATCAATGAAACCGATATATCTGTTAGTCCCATTACACCTACCAGAAGATTACAGTTATGTCGCAAATGAGAGAAGTGAGAGAAAAGCATCATCCAGGATTTACCTCGTCATGCAGGAGAATCATACATATCCACCCCAAGTAGTTCCACATTATCAGACTACAAATAATTCACTCCCCTCGCCGCTCTCCTGTAATTTCATCGGAATTAGACTCTGAAACTCTAATTTAAGCTGGAATATTGCTGAGGACAATCAATTTAATAATAAATAAATAAAAGTACCTGGCTTTTGTCTTGAGAGTTGAGAGTTGAGAGTTGGAGAGAGTGAAATGAAAGCTCATATGATGGTGATTTCATCATCTATGTTTATGCAAGGAATGCGAGCTATGTTTCTCCAATCTTTTCCCTTCTTGTTCCGATACTTCTTCTTCAGAGAAGGACAACCCTCGATGCTCAGATAAGAAAGAGATGCCGGCAAACCCTCTTTTGGCAGGAATTCGAGACTCTGGCAGCCTGAAATTTCTAGCTTTTGAAGAGAAGTAAGGTGCTCAAGTCCCTTTCCGTCCAAAGATTTCAGATTCCATACACCACAGATTTCGAGATGGTGAAGAGTGGCAGGGAGCAGCTGTTCATTGAGCAACGTCTCCACCAGATCCTTGCTTACTCCGACGATCCCAAATGATTGTAGGTTGGGAGGCAAACCCCCTTGTGCAAATGACACCACATTTGGAAGATTGGCTATCCCCAAATCTTGAAGGGCGGTGAGGGTGTGCATGCGGTCCGGCAACAACTTCAAATTGTCACAGTATAAGACTTGAAAGGAAGTGAGGTTGGGAGTGGGCAATCCCCCGTCGGGAAAAGAGACAAGATTTTGACATCCATTAATATCCAGGGAGTTGAGATGGCTGAGATTTTCATCTGCTCCTCCTTCAACTGAAAGAGATTCCAGATTCTCACAATTACCGATAGAAAGAGATGAAAGGTTGGGGAAAATGCCCAAAGGGAACGACCTCAGAGAATCACAGCTGTCGGATAGACTCAAAGACTGAAGGGAAGTCAATGTGGCCATCATCTCACCTGATAGGAATTCTAATTTCTTGCAATTTTCTATACCGAGTGACGTCAGCGTGGTGGGCAGACCATTTGTAGGGAACGACAAGAGTGAGGAACATCCCCATAATGTCAAACTTTGAAGACGATTGCTGTTGTGCATCATTTGCGGCAACCATTTGCTTCCACCAACACTACCAATACGGAGCATCTGAAGCGATGGCAGCGTCTCCGTCGACTCTAGTAATAATGAGAGACCCGGGCATCCCTTTATTGTCAGTTCTTTAAGAGATTCCCGTAAGGATTCCGCGTTCAGGGTATTACTGGCCCTGTTTTCATGTAGAACCTCACATGCCAAGACCTGAAGTATTTTCAAGGAAGGAAGACGAATGGGCATGTTTCCTCTCAGCTTCGGACATGAGAATAACCTCAGCTCCTCAAGACGAGGAAAGTCTGGACTTTCACCTCCACTTGGACTTGGCTGCCATTCCTCCCACTCTGGCATCTCCCAAAACTCTAACTTCTCTAAACATTGAAATGGTTGATTTCCGCCGTACAACTCAACACCAACACTCTTAACAACTTTCATCCTTTCTACGTAGAGCTCTTTCAGAGCAGGTAGCTGACCAACTGGTGGCAATGAACTGCAATTACCACAGTCACTGAGACGCATCACTTGTAAGTTGGAGAAGGACGAGTCTCCCACCCAATTCGGGAAACTGATTCCGCCATAACACCTGATGGTTAGCTTCACCAAATTTACCGAAGGTTGAAGTCTTTCGAGCACATATCTCTCTTTTACGGAATCATTGGAAACCACACGACCCCATGACAACTCTACCTCGTTGAGATCTTTCTTATCCTCCAGCAAGGCATCAATAGCACCGACTACATTTTGCAGATTCAAGATAGAAATTTTTCTTCCAAGGTGCGACAACTCCCTCAATTCTGCAATGCTTGACCCAGAAGATTTCCCCAACACAAAAGCTGTCAGTGTTCTCAAACTTTTTAGTCTACCCATATGCACAGGCATCTCTTTTATGTTAGTTCCACCAATATCAAGATGACGCAAATGAATCAATTTCCTCATGTCTGCAGGCAATTCAACAAGAGAAGAACAACCGAACAACAACAGAGTTTGTAAATTGTAGAGGGTACACACTGTATCTGGTAACCTTTTAATTGTCGTATAAGAGAGATCAATGTAGCGCAAGTGTATGTGGTTACCAATGGAATCAGGTACGTGAGTGATGTTTTTGTATCTTGACAATGAAAATGCTCGTAAATATTTTTGTGCTGGTAGTAAATCATCTAGAACCTTGTTGCTTACATATTCATGATCCCAACGGTAATATGGTGCTAAAGACGCTGGAAAGAAGGTACGCAAACACTTGACTCCTTCTAGTGGCTCAAATTTTGGAGATGTATCAAATTTTCCTCGCATATACGACAAGTGGCGAACTCTTTTAGGAACTTCATGTGAATTTTTCTGATCCAACCTTAAACAAAACTCTCCAGACACAAACATAGCCAAGTCATTGATAAGATCATGCATTGTGAAACTTGGTTGATCCAATCTTGGTCTTTGAAATAGTGACCGCGATAACAGTTCGTCAAAGTATCTTTCACCAACCTCCTCCATAGCTTTCTCGTTCTTTGCATTAGGAATTAAGCCTTCTGCCATCCATAGTGGAATTACATTCTCTTTTTCAAATTCATAGTCTTTTGGAAAAATTGAGCAATAAGCAAAGCATCGTTTCAAGTAAGTTGGAAGATAGTGGTAGCTCAATCTTAGAGAAGGAAGAACACTATCAGCATGCGGTAGATCCCAAAGATTGCTATTCAATATGTGATTCCATTCCTTGTAGTCTAGGTTGCAACTTAAGAGACCCCCTAGCGTTTTTGCAGCTAGAGGCAAACCGTTGCACTTACGTGCAATTTGCTTACCAATTTCAACCAAGTTTGGATGTTCATAGGGGTTTTCATTTCTAAATGCATGTTTTGCTAGTAACAACCAACAATCTTCATCTGACAAATTTTCTAAGTTGTGAATAGGAATAGTATTGTGCACAATGGATGCAACACGTCTACTCCTTGTTGTTACAATGACCTTGCTTCCCTTTGCCCCATACGTGAAAAGAATTCGTAGACGCTCCCACTCATTATAATTTTCATTCCAAAGGTCATCCAAGACAAGTAAAACTCTCTTTCCCCTCAGCTGTTCCCTTAGTTGAACTTCAAGGGAATTCATCTCCAAATTGTCACAAGGCTTTTTAGTGATTTCCTCAATAAGGGTCTTAATAACCCTCAAACCCTCATACTGTTCGGAAACACAAACCCAAGCATGAGTATCAAAGTGGTCTTTAACTTGTTCATCATTGTAAAGGAGTTGAGCAAGAGTTGTCTTACCAACCCCGCCCATTCCGACTATAGGGACTACAGAAAAATTACTGCTACTTTCATTGTCAGATAGCAGCAGTAGAGATTTTAACTTTTCTATATCGCCATCCCTTCCATAGGTACAAAATTCGTCCTCAACAACAGAAGTTGTGGGAGTTCTTTGTGAAACATTGCCCCCAACACCTCCTCTAAGACCGAGGTTGTCTTTTTGTTTTGCAAGGTGTTCCAACTTGTTGAACAAATCTTCTATTCTACGATTCAAGGATTTATAATGAAAAGGATTAAGGGAGGTAGAAAGGATGTCCCGCACCTGGATTTTCTTAGTCTGATCTTTGGCCTTGCGACGCAAATCTTCAGTATCAAGCTCATCCACCAAGTCCTCGGCATCGAACACAGCATGTTTGAGCTCGTCTAGCCACATCCCGACGGCAGGGTTGACGATCTGCTTCTCCTCTGCATCGTTGAGCACTGCATGGAGGGTCATCAACGTCACCTCCAGTCTGTCCATGAGTGAATAGTCGAGTCTTCTTGCCCGGAAGAAGTCCATGAACTGTCCGGAGGCAATCTTGTCGCACAACACCTTGATCGAACCGGATAGCAAAGCCTCTCCAACCAAAGCCATTTTCTCTTCTTGGCTAAAGGACTAATTTTGATCAAGTATTTGGAGTTGAAAAACTGAAAATTATTCTTGGCAAAGCCTTTTAAGATTACTTCATGACGAGAGAGACGACTTGATATTTTTCTTGGTTAATAATGCAGCGGACCACACACGGCAAACATAAAGTAGAAATTAGTAGAGGTTGGAAAACGTTACCGATCCAACATTAATTTATTAATTATATTCCTTCATAAAAAAATCGTTGTTGGTCATGAAAATTGGTGGAGTTGGAAAACATTACATCAAACATTAATTAATTTATTATTTTATTACATATATAGATGACATTATTTGATTTGAGTGCATCTTCACATGTGAGACAAAGTCAAAGAAAATAGCTCGGTGAAGATGAACACAATTCAAGAATTCTATCTAATCTTATCAGAACATCTCATGATTCCCATATACTGGCCAATGATAGATCACAAATATTATACTTTACCTATATCATCGATTTCACAACAAATCCAATTTATTTTTTACATGTTTTCAAGAACTATTTTAAGAAGTGACCAGATGGGCCATAGTGATTTTCGATTGGACAAAGCTCATGGGTTATGACAAACGCCCAGTTTCTACGCTAACAGTTTGAAAGTTGGAAGTATGCAGAGTTTGTGAAACCAAGGGCTTTGTTCTCCTGCACATGGAAAAGTAAAAGAAAATGGCTGAGACTAATCTCAAATTGTTAAGTCGTAAAAAAATATGAAAATTTCCATTGATGGAGCGGCGTAAAATAAAAAAAATTTAAAAAATGCTGTAATTGGATCTCAACATTTTTCCCTTGTCTTACTAAAAGAGTAGAAAAAATCATCGCGGGTAGTAGAGTGGTCAAGGACGAAGTCTAGGTTTATATTCCACACGACACGTCAAGAGTTCAATTCTTGATGCTGGTGAATCACACAATAGTGGTTATGGGAGCTGAAATACCTCTGCAAGTCTTCTCGGCACCCAAAAATGTGAACCGCAGTGCCACCAGCTGATTCCATTTTTAAAAAGAAAAAAATAAAATAAAAGAATAGAAAACGTTGGGGTAAATTAGAGCAAGACTATGTGCTTTATGTATTCGATAATTGATTTTTTTTTTTTTTAAAAAATAGAAGGCAATAGTTTCATTAAAACATACTAATGTGATTTATTTGATAATTGATAAATAAATAAATGAAATGTGCTTTGTTTGCCTTCCAATTGTTGTAACGGTCACATTTGGATCTTTGACCCATATGATGATCAAATGGCCTCCACCATCCTCTTGTGATGATTGAAATCTCCAAAACCAAATCTTGGTACTACTCTGTGTATTCTACTCCAATTCCAAAGGCTCTATCTTCATCTTCCTATTAAAAGAAAAATTAAGAAATTTTCGGACGTGACTTCAACGCTATGTAGCATTTAATGTTACGAGTGTATTAGTTATCATATTTAATTTTCACAACTATTACATTTTATATTTTCTATTCTGAATATTTATTTTTTATGACACTCAGTACTATATGCTTTTTGAAGAAAAATGGATTGTACTTTTTCTTGCTTTGCCAGTCTGCCTATGTATTCAACATTCATGGAACCATTCAAGTTTAGGATTTGGTTTGCATCAGCAATGCGCTTCATCATGAGGAATTTAATTATAGGAGAAATTTTTCAGTGTGCCAAAAACACTACTTGGTATATCAAGTGTAATAATGTAATTAGTTGGAATTATTTTCTTTTTCAAGTTTCTAACCCAATTATCTTGTTACACTTAGAATAATGAACTGTGTTCCTGACGTATTGATAAATCTCTCCACATATGAGGGGCCTAAAATCTATCAGTCTAGTTTCTATGCCAACCATGCCCCTTTTCTTAAGTATACTTAATCTTTAATTTTCTTGGGTTAGCCAATTTTGAGTCAAGGTTAACATGTTTTTTCACAAAACTAATTAAGAAAACACTCTAGTTGCGTAGTTATATTGTCAAATTATCGAATTTGATACTATAAAATTATATAATCAAGTATACGTTACCGCTATTTATATTAAATAAACACTGTAATACTATAACATACTATATTTCATGATGAACAAAAAATTTCCTTCAACGCTAAACTCATGTTTAATATTGAAATTGTTATTGAATAATGAGGCACGACTTGCAATAAACCTCACATACATTAACAATTGAAAATCGTTGAGACCCACTCTTCCATGTTATTATGTTGACAAAATGTTCCCAGACCAAAAATATACCATAAAATTCCATGATATTGATTCCACCAACACGCTGTCGTTTAAGGTCCCTCCCAAAAGTCCCTCATAACCGTTGCAAACCCACTCTCAGCATAAATATTCCTTTCAAACCGACCCACGCGCCCATTTTCCAACCGTTTAAACCCCACTCCCTCCCTCTCTCTAAACCTCCAAGAACTCTATCTCTCTCTCTCTCTCTCTCTCTCTCTCTCTCTCTCTCTCTCTCTCTCTCTCTCTCTACATGTTTTCAATCATAATCTGCAAGTCCTTTGCTTTTGCAAAGAAAATCCAAAACCCATTAGTTTCCATCCATCTGAAATCGAAATCTCCGCCTCCATGGCTCCAAGAAAGCTTCTTGATTTCTGGGTCGTCGTCTTCTTCCTCATAGCCCTCTTCCTACGCCGTGGCTCCGCCGAGAACGTCAACAACTACTTCCCCTCTTTCAACTTCCGAAACCTTACCGGCCTCACCCGCGAGTTCACAGTCCCCTCTTCCAGCTCCGGCGCCGTCATATACAACAACCCAATTCTGTTCTTTGACCCGGAATTCAAGCTACTCGAATTTGAAGCCCGAAAAGCCGGTTTTGAGCGTAGAGATCGATCTCTCCGAGCATCTGAAGGAGGTTATGTTCGTGGGTTTTTTGGCCTAGACGGAAGGGAGCACGGAGAAGCATCTGGTTGAGAATTGGAGCTTTCATACATGCGGGTTCGTTGCGAAAAGGCCAAAGCTACAGCCCCACAATGTGTCTGATACTTATGTGGTGGTAAGTGTAAGTCCGAGAATTCCATGCTAGGACCAACCAATTAATAGGTGTATGATGTATAATAATTTGCAGAGTTTATTTTCAAATGAAAAATTAAACAACAAATACAATATATCAAGATATAATCACTTAATGAAATTGCTTATAAAATTACAAATCACTGACTTGTTATTTGAGGATAGAGGCTTGCAAAAGCAATCTCCTAAGATAGAAATTCGCCCCTACACCAATGCAGTAGATCAGTGGACGTCTATCTTGGAGGATACAACTATCTAATCCAAGTTCTTGCACACGAACTTAGATTCTTGGCGAATTGGTTGTGGTGTTTCTTTTTGGAATATGGAAAAAGGAAGCGATGGAGTTGATTGATTTGTTTCTCATACTGTAGCCATATATACAACAGGTATTCATCAATTTCCTTCCTGAACTTGTAACTATTGGCCAATTTCCCCCCTCAACTTTAATTTTTGCCAATTTCCCCCCTCAACTCTCATAATTAGTCAATTTGCACCATACTCTAATTTTTTAATTTGATCATAATTAAACAAGTGTGTGTAAGAAACTAAATAAGATGTATGTTAATCATTTTCCTATGTCTTTATCCTATTACAAATAGATTAAAATTTAGAATTTTACAATTTATCATAGATAGTATTATTAGTCATAATAAATCAGTATGGAGTAATTTTATTTGATTTTTTTATTATACAAAATTGATAACGAAAAGGATTGATGTGTACATTTTTGTATGTGAATACAATTTTCTTTATAAAAGTGAAAGGTAAGTTCAAGTAAATTGCGAAGAATCGAGCTTTAGTGCAAAAATGGCTAGTCAATTCATAATTTTCGACTCCTTATTAAGAATAACCCATTTTATTGAAATATGTCTGATCCATGAGTTTAGGATTATTATTTCTTCTTCTACATGCTTTAAACCCGATTCATAACTTTTTCTTATAATCAACCCATATCACATACTAATTGTATTATGTTTTTGTACATTTTATCCTATATTATGCAGGTGAGTTTATGTTAATTTTAGTACTTTGTTGGAAGTTATTAGAAAGATTGAAAGAAAAAAAAAAGAATAGATGGAAAATTAAAAAAAATTAACAGTAGGATGCAAATTGACTAATTATGAGAGTTGAGGGGGGAAATTGACCAAAATTAAAGTTGAGGGGGAAAATTGGCCAATGATCACAAGTTCAGGGGGAATTGATGAATACCTCTATATAATGGCAATTTGATTCGTTTCATACTGTAGCCATATATATAATAGCATTCGTGAACAGATTATTCAAACTTATCCTTTTAGATATAACTTTTAAAAACTACATCCTTAAAATCAAACCTAAGGCCAATCTTTGACATTTAATACATACACCCAAACCCTTCAAATTTAAGGTCTAAGGCTTTAGTCCAGTTTCTTTCAAACTGTAAGTATGAAAACACACTTATAAAGAGGACTTAAAGTAGGGAAATGGACGATATGGGACTGGGAGTCCCACATAATCACAAGTTCCAACATTCCAGTGTCCGGTTCGGGAGATAAGCACCACAGGCGGCTCGGCTTAGGACTTGGTATTGCTGGGCTTGCGTTCTTTTGCGTGGCGCTGTTGGTTTTCGGGTATGTTTCCGTGACGAAATGGATGGAGGTGAGAAGACAGAAGAGCTTCAAAGCAGAGGTTGTGGCAAGTCTGAGAGAGTTTAGTTACAAGGAGCTAAAATATGCCAATGAGGGTTTCATTCCAGTAGGATTCTAGGGCATGGAGCTTTCCGGTCTGTTTACAAGGCGTTTTTCGTGTCTATGGGCACCATTTCTGCGGTGAAAAGATCCAAGCATTCCATTAAAGGTAAAACTGAATTCCTTTCTGAGTTGTCGATTATTGCTTGCTTGCGCCACAAGAGTTTAGTTCACCTTTAGAGCAGTTCCACCGGAGCAAAAAGAGGCCAACACCTAGTGGAAAAAACAGGCTGGGACTCAGCCAATCCACTCCAGCCCGTGTGTTTGCCTGGCACCCAGCCCAAGTTGGTCTCCAAGCCAGCCCAGAATTGACAGACCTTGGGACTGGCCTAGCTAACGCCAGCATGACATCAGCCACCTTGGGACTGGCCTGTCTCGTTCCGGGGGGTTCATGATTTCGCACACCGCCAACAGCGCTGCGCCCAGTCCATCCACGATGCTGGCCGAGGGGAAATATTCCAGCTTCAAAGACGGCGCATTTCTTTCCGTGGTGGTCTCCAGCTTGAACGCTACTGCCTTGTCCTTCAAAAGCTTGCCTCAAAAGTTGAGGGTCTGGACCAAGTCGAGAATCTGGACCCTCTGGGAGACGATCTGGTGAGAAGTGAGCAGCTTGGCCACGGAGGGATATGACAACGATGAGGAGAGAGGGGTGGAGAGGCATCTCTGCGGCTGCTCCATGAGGATTTTGAGAGAACAAGAGGAAGGGAGATCGGAAGGAGCGGTGAGGAAGGGAGGGTTATAGTGGAACCTGACTTATCCTTTTTTTTTTTTAATAAAATTATTATTTTTATTATTTTATAATAAAAAATAATAGAGTAAATTACATAGTAGCCCCTCATGTTTGAGGTCAATTACAACCCCATACAACAACTTTAAAACATTTCACTTTCATACATCCAGTACAATTTTATTTCAAAATAAAACCTCTGTTAGATTTTCCATCCATTAGTCTGTTAAATGCTGACGTGGCTGCCACATTTGTGCTGATGAGGTTGCCACGTGGCAAAAAAAAAAAATTTTTAATTTTTTTTTAAAAAATACCTAAATCTTCTAAATAAAAAAATAAAAACCCAGAATCTGAACAAAACCCCACCCCCGTGAACCCCCCTTAGCCTTCTTCTTCCCTGCTCCCATCTTCCCCCACCCCATACCTGCACCTTTGAAGGAAAAAAAAAAACCTGAGAACAACCCATATCCCATATCCCCGCGAAACCCATACCCCATACGACCACCCCCCAACCCAGATCCCATTACCACGCCCCCCCCCCCGACGCGAAACCTAACCCAGATCCCATTACCAACCCTCCGGCGCGAAACCCATATCCCCCCCGAACTGCAAGGACGTCATCCTCACCCGCATCATCTTCGTCGTCGAAGACGACAACGAGCAGGAATAGCAAGGCGACGATGAGAAATCCCGGTCGACGGTGAGATCGGGTGGTGACGAAGGACCTTCGTGAGGAGCAGAGGGATCAGAGAGAGAGAGCTCTGCGGTACAGGCCACGATGCAACGCATGACCCAAATTCACCGCCACGGAGACGACCAGAACGTTGAGCCCATTCCGACCCAACCCCCGACCCTCATCCCACTCTCCTCACTCTCTCTCTCAAACCCCAAACCCTCCAGATCCAAAACCCACACAACTCTGCCGGGTCACCACCGCCAACGCCTTCCTCCTCAGCACTTTGACCCTCCTCCCACTCTCCTCACTCTCTCTCTCAAACCCCAAACTCCCCAGATCCAAAATCCCCACATTCTTCTCGCTTTCTATTCGCCCCAACGCCAATCCTATATCCATCACTCTCTCTCCTCCTTCTGCTTTCTCACTCATTTCTCTCCCTCTCTGACTCTCTCTCCGGCAACCCCCCCCCCCCCGGCGAACCCCCCATATCCCATTAACCCCTTCCCCCACCCCCCTCGCGAACCTAGATCCCAGATTTGTGCATTTTTTTTTTTTTTGCTTTTCTTTTCTGGGTTGAGATCCCATTAACCCCTTCCCCCACCCCCGCGAACTCAGATCCACACAGTTCGGTGGTGTTGGGATTGGGAGTGGGGATGAAGATGGTTAAGGGAATGATTTTTGGGAGGTGGAATTTGTGGGATTGGGTTGCAGGGAAAAGGTGAGGCTCGGGTTGGGGGGAAGGAGGATTTAACGGGAATGGGTCGTCGGGGGAGGGGGGGAGGTGGGATTTGAAGGGAGTGGGTCGTCGGGGGAATGGGGATTTAACGGGAGTGGGTCGTCGGGGGAAGGGGGATTTGACGGGAATGGTTCGTTGGGGGGTGGGGGGGAGGAGGAGGTTGCTGCGCTAGGTTTCTGGGGGGATTAATGGGGAGGTGGGTTTGGGATTAATTGGTTTCTGGTTTTGGGGGTTGCGGGTAAAGCTTTCAGGTTTGTTTTTTTTTTTTTTTTTAAATATTTAGAAGATTAGATTAAAAAATTAAAAATTATTTTTTTGCCACGTGGCAGCCTCATCAGCACAAATGTGGCAGCCACGTCAGCATTTAACAGACTAATGGATGGAAAATCTAACGGATGTGTTATTTTGAAATAAAATGGTACTGGATGTATGAAAGTGAAATGTTTTAAAGTTGTATGGGGTTGTAATTGACCTCAAACCTGAGGGGCTACTATGTAATTTACTCAAAATAATAATAGTTTAATAAAATTGACTAGGCTATTTTTTTGTTAGGGTGGAGATGCTTTGGCCTATTACTGTTTATTAGGGTCTATTACTGTTCATTTGAGTGGATAAATAGACTGGGTGCTGGCACAAAGTCATTAGGGGTGGACTTGCTCTCAAGGCTGGTGTGTTGACAAGGGTGAATTGCTTCTTGTTTACGATTTCATGCCTAATGGAAGCCTCGAAAAGGCACTGTACCAAGAACCCGGACAAAGTACCTTGTTAGATTGGTCTCGGAGACTGAAAGTTGCGGTTGGATTGGCGTCTGTTTTGACGTATCTGCATCCGGAATGTGAGCAGCAGGTAATCCACAGGGACATAAAGACTGTCAATGTATTGCTGGACGGGAATTTAAACGCAAGGTTCAGTGATTTCGGGTTGGCAAAGCTCATGGATCACGATAAAAGCCATTGTCTTGGTAGCTATTGCATCGGCCTTTTGGCTGGTCCAATTTTAGGTACTGCTGGACTAAGTTCCAATATGCTCATTGCAGTCCTCTTGCCCCGAAAGCATCAATTAAACAACAGCGGAATGTGCTAAACTCTATTCAGTTATATTGTTAAAGGAGCAATTTCCCTTCTGCAAAATGTAAAATGCCCTCAGTTACCTCCTATCAAAACCAAAATACTTGTAATAACTGGTTTTCGTTTCTCCTTGCAGATTTCTAAAGTCCATTTGTGAACGGTTTCTTGAGCAGGCGACACCCTTTCAACTCGAAATGTAGCTGAAACGAGTACAACTTTTTTCGATGTATAGGATTCCGTCGTAATTGTTATCTCAGATAATTTGCAGATTGATTGTAGTTAAGAAGAGTAACAAGTTCCATTGGCAGATAGGCAATTACCTGAGCTACTCAGCAAATATAGCACATTTTCTACGTGGGTTACAAAAGCAGCTCACCACAAATATATACAAATTTAACTACAACGGGATGGTCCAATGGTTGGGAACGAGTTTTAGACTCGTATTCTACACAACACGTCCCGAGTTTGATTTCTGGCGTTGGTGAATCACATGATGGTGACCAAGGAAGGCTAAAATGCTTTTGAGTCTTTCCAACCCTCAAAATGGTGGACTACCATGGCGAAGCCACTGGCATTCTAGAAAGTGGTGCCAAAAAGCCATGCTCTCTTCAACCATTGTGTTTGTAGAGAAACATATGAGTATATACACCTACCTCAAGATGACAGAGGCATTGAAAGATGAGTAAGCATTCCGCCATATGGAACCACAGCAGTACATATGAGAGAAAAAAAATACATCATCAAGGAGTTACTTGCATCCCATGCAGGGGTAATCATATATGCGAGAGATTGCCGCCGCACCAATCAACTACTAGTAATATGCAAGCTAAAACCGGTTGTTATTATATTTGATGATACCGTCCTGAAATTCAAAGAAACACGTAAATGTTAGGGGAGAAATTAAAAATAAGAGAGAGAAGAAAGGGTAGCATAGTTAATCGGTACAGTTCATTAGTTTTCTCTCTGGGCAGATGAAGTCCCACATACATTCAATCTTTATATAGATGTTGACAAGAGCTGAGGTCTGCAGGTCCCTGTTCAAAGTCCATTTCTGTCCAAAGACTTCAAACTTGACAGTCCAGAAAACCAGAGCACCATTTGATAATCCTATCTTTACAGCTTTACTCTGTTTGTTCGCTGCATCAATGAAACCGATATACCTGCTAGTACCATCAAATTGTCCTGACTTAGGATATAGTTGAATTGAACTGTCAAAGAAAAAGACTGATATATAAAATGCAATGTAGACAAAGCAAACTGAAGATAGAAAAAGTGAGAGAGAGTAAATTACAATTTACAGCTGATCTGCAATGTTCCACCGGTGAAATCCTCCTTAATATATATGCAATCTAGTAATGCAACGTACGTACTGGCATTCAAGCAAGTACAGCCATGAGGCACTCTTCAACTGTTGTGTAAGTAGCGAGAAACATATCTCCAGTGGACCTACCTGAAGATTACAGTTACAGTGAAAGATGAGAAAGTTATGCCTCAAATGAGACAAGCATGAGAAAACCCTCACATGCAGGAGAATCATATATATCAGACTACAAAGAAGTCACTCCCCTCGCATTCTCCTGTAATTTCATCGGAATTAGACTCTGAAACTTGAATTTAAGTAGGAATATTGTTGCTAAGGACAATCAATTTAATCGTACCCAATCAATTTAATAATAAATAAAAAATTACCTGGCTTTTGTCTTGAGAGTTGAGAGTTGAGATTTGGAGAGAGTGAAATGAAGGCTCATATGATGATGACTTCTCCATCGATCTTTATGCAAGGAATGCGAGCTATGTTTCTCCAATCTTTTCCCTTCTTGGTCTCATACCTCTTCTTCAGAGAAGGAAAATTCTCAATGCTCAGATAAGAGATGCCGGAAAACCCTCTTTTGGCAGCAATTCGAGACTCTTACACCCTACATTTCTGGCTGTTGAAGAGAAGTGAGGTGCTCAAGTCCCTTTCTGTCCAAAGATTTCAGATTCCATACATAAGAGATCCAGAGAGTGTGAAGAGTGGCAGGGAGCAGGTGTTCATTGAGCAAAATCTCCAGCAGATCCTTGTTTCCTTCGCTCCGAAATTAATTGGCTCCTGTAGGAAGATTTCGTATTAACCACCCAACATCAAATGTACTTAAAAGTAGTCATTACAGAACAAAGCACACTATGGTTCATGAGCAAACTGAAAAGTAATCATTACAACTTATGACTATTACTAAGATTAAAGTTTTTTAGGGTGTCAAAGATTCACCTCATCAAAATCTTGTCGGAGATTTCAACCCAGTTGAAGAAAAAAGAGTACAACACACCAACAAATTACAAGTTATGACTATCTAGCTTGTATTAATTAAAACATCCAAAAAATGTCCAGGTGAGTCTTCAAACTATAGCAACTCTTAATATCATGCAAGTCTATGTGCAACATTTTTGGGCCTCTCATCTCACATAATATTGGAGCAAACGCAGAATAATCCTTCTCCTTTTGCAACAGTCCTGCCAAAGATAGAGTGGAATTACTCTCCACTTCCACAGCAGCAGCCCCCGAATCAGCCGCCATCGGCAGCCAACAACGTAGTGTTCTGGCCTAAAACGTACGTGGTAGAGAAAAATGAACCCCCGCATGCACTTGGCTGTACAGGCAGCAACAATGTGTGTAGCTGCATGCGAATCAGAAAAACAAATACCATATAATAAGAGAAACAATGAATGGACCCCTTAGCGACTGGGAAATCCAGCTATGGGCGATAACATACATGAAACACTACCATGGTTGAGTTGCTACTTACCAAGAAGGCTTCCAAATTTGCGAGCCCGCTGGGCCAACTTTCACCATCAAACTTGGGTTAAGGCGTATTATCGTCCATTTCTCCATGGCATCTTCCTCTTGAGCGGTTAACGAATCAAACGATTGCCTGGATATATAGTGAGCAATTCTGCAATGTTCAAACCTCCGAGTCCAGATGCAACTTTGAATATTCTCTTGATTGCTCATGAAATCCACAATGGTGAGAAGAATGCTATAACCTCTCAGTTCCTTTGGATCACTTCCAGGAGATAAGATGTTCATTGGCGGCAACAATAGGCACAATTTCATTTAACGTATGTGATATATATATATCTCTTTAAGGATAGTATGTGGATGCAGAGTTTTGATGAAAATGTAGGAAAAGAACGCAGAGCTTTACCTTCACATGCTTTGTACCATTTCATTATAAATCGAACTGTGAAAGCAAGTTTTCTCTCAAATCCATTTCAATAGGATGCCAACTCAACTGCTTTCCTTTTTCATACCTCAGCTTAACAAGATACTCCTAAATTCAAAGATGAAGAAATTATTATTGATACATTTATCTTAGAAAACAAGCGAATGGAACTTAAAACAAAAGAGAGTGGTGGAACGCTCAATTACCGCTCATCCGCAGTGCTCAACGTAAGAATTACCATTCTTGTGAAATCCGTTGCACACCAGCCAACCACTTATTCAAGTAATATCATTTACTGGAATAGCAACAAACACAAGCATGACAACACTGCTACAAGGAACAAGAGCGCTGTTCAACCACTGTATGTATAAAAGCATATCTGCACCCAGAGTTGCCATCTGCATCAATAAAGCCGACAAATACGTTAGTCCCATCGTGTTGTCCTTACTGATTGCATAGTTGAATTACATTGATACATAAAGGAAGAACAAATTACACTCGAAGTGTTCAACTACTTACACTTAAATCCGTAGGCGCAGCAGCCAGCCACCAAGTCTAGTCACATGGGCATTCTAGCAAGCGGTGCCAATAAGCCAAGCTCTCTCCAACCATTGTGTTTGTAGAGAAACATATGTGTATGCACCTACCAAAAGATGACAGAAGCGTTGAAAGATGAGTAAGCATTCCGCCGTATGGAAACCACAGAAGTATACATATACACAAGTACCTGAGTGGTTGAAGTAAGCTAACATCGTTTCCCCCCGTGATAATCCTATCTTTACAGTTCAATAGTTTTCTCTCTGGACCGACGAAGTCCCACATACATTCAATCTTTATATAGCTATTCAAGAGAGCTAAGGTCTAGAGGTCCCTGTCCTGGAAGGAATTGCGTGCGTGGGAGGCGTTGAAAGTCCATTTCCACCCGAAATATTTCATACTTTACAGTCCAGAAAATCAGAGCCCCATTTGATAATCCTAGCTTTACAGGTTCGCTTGCTCGCTGTGTCAATGAAACCGATATATCAGAAGATTAGAGTCATGTCGCAAACGAGATAAGTATGAGAAAAGCATCATCCAGGGTTTTACCTCTTGTCATGCAGGAGAATCATATATATCGACCTCTCCTGTAATTTCACTCCCCTCGCATTTGGCTGCACAGTCCTGCCAACAACAACTTCAACGCAGAATAATGCTTCTCCCTTTGCTACAGTCCTGCCAAAGATAGAGTGGAATTATATCCACTTCCATAGCAGCAGCCTCCAAATCAACCGCCATCGGCAGCCAACGACGTAGTGTCATGGCCTAAAATGTACGTGGTAGAGAAAAATGAACCCCCGTGTGCGCACTTGGCTGCACAGGCAGCAACAAAGTGTGTGGCTGCATATGAATCAGAAAAAAAATGAAAGGACCCCTTAGCGACTGGGAAATCCTGCTATGTGCTATCATGTACATGAAGCACTACCATGGTTGAGTTACTACTTACCAAGAAGGTTTCTAAATTTGAGAGCCCGCTGCTCCAACTTTCACCATCAAACTTGGGTTAAGGCTTATCATCATCTATTTCTCCACGGCATTTTCCTCTAGAGCAGTTAACGAATCAAATGATTACCTGCATATATAGTGAGCAAATCTGCAATGTTAAGGCTAGCCGACATTCACCTCTCCCAGACCCTGCGTAAAGCGGGAGCCTTGTGCACTGGGTACGACCGTTTGTTAACTTGCTACATCACACACACTAATATATAGAAAACAAACCTCCAAGTCCAGATGCAACTTTGAATATTCTCTTGATTGCTCATGAAATCCACAATGGTGAGAAGAATGCTAATATATAGCAAACAAGCCGACAAATACGTTAGCGTGTTGTCCTGACTGATTGCATGGTTGAATTACATTGATCCATAAAGGAAGAACAAATTACACTCAAGTGTTCAACTACTTACACTGAAATCTGTAGGCGCAGCAGCTAGCCACCAAGTCTATTTACGCTGGCATTCTAGCAAGCGGTGCCAATAAGCCCTGCTCTCTTCATCCATGGTGTTTGTAGACAAAAATATGTGTATGCAGCTACCACAAGATGACAGAGGCATTGAAAGATGAGTAAGCATTCCGCCATATGGAAACCGCAGCAGTATATATATACACAAGTACCTGAGTGGTTGATGTAAGCTAACATCGTTTTCCCTCTGATAATCCTATCTTCACAGTTGAATAGTTTTCTCTCTGGACCGACGAAGTCCCACATACATTCAATCTTTATATAGCTGTTCAAGAGAGCTGAGGTCTAGAGGTCCCTGTCCTGGAAGGAATTGCGAGAGTGGGAGGTGTTGAAAGTCCATTTCCATCCAAAATATTTCAAAATTGACGGTCCAGAAATCGGAGCACCATTTGATAATCCCATCTTTACAGGTTTGCTTGCTCGCTGCATCAATTAAACCGATATATCTGTTAGTCCCATCACATCTACCAGAACATTACAGTTATGGTGCAAACGGACTACAAAAAATTCTTGTACAATCAGGAGTACTAAATCAAAATCCCAAACAGAGTTTTAATCCAAACCAAAACTGGATTACTCTTATAAACAAATTGAGACCTTATCACTTTATTCTAATCTGAAATAACTGAACCGTGTGAATCATAATCACACTCTAACAGAAAGTGTTTCAAATGCATTAAATAGGTCAATACAAAGAGTACCACTTGTTGACATTACTGAGATTCCAAACCCTCCTGCATCAGTTTCTAAAGCTGAACCATATGCAGATAGACTTAGTCTAGATTCCGTGAACACTGAATTCAGCTTAACAGGCACTCATAAGAGCTTCAAACAGAGGCTTGGAATCCAAAACAGAAGCAAGAGAAGATATAACAATAAGGAGAACCTGAGCATGTCACAAGGAACAAACGATATTAAGGGGACCACTAGATCACTTCATAAAAGGTTCAGTAAACTAAAATTATCTGGGAAAACCAGTTTGAGAAAAGGTGGTTCAAGTTTATCAGAGCAGGAGCCGAAGCATAACAATATTGTGTCCAGCATGACTTCTTTCATTCCACTTGTTCAACAGAAACACGCAGCTGCAGTTGTAACAGGTAATTTCTTACTAGTAATCTTAACCTTTGAACTTTGGATTTTGCATTACATGTACATATTCCATATGATTGTTTTTCTGAGTGTGGATCATAATTGTACGTCTAAACTGGGTTACAGTATGGATGATGGTTTTATTTTTACTGAATTAGGGAATGTTTTATTTGGAGTAGTAAATTAGCAATGAATGTCTGGGATCATCAAGTAAAATTTAGAGTGCATATTTGAAAGTCCCATGAAAGCTGAGTTGCCCCATTGTCCTCCATAAGTATGTTATAGGTGACTTCATCTTGTCATACGGAGCTTGACAGTGATTCATTTGTTTTTTTATTGTATCCTTGTGAATTCTTGTGAGTATTCTGGGATATTTTTCTTTGTTTCTTTTTTTCTCTCCAATGACTTGATTCAGTATTTTGACCTATTTGTGTTTTCTTGCAGGGAAGAGGGACGTCAAAGTGAAGGCCCTGGAGGCAGCTGAAGCTGCAAAGCGTCAGGCAGAAAAGAAAGAGAATGAACGCAAGATGAAGAAGGAAGCCTTGAAACTTGAGCGGTCAAGAATGGAGCAGGAGAATATGAAGCAGTTGGAGTTGCAGAAGAAAAGGAAAGAAGAAGAGAGGAAGAAAAAAGAGGCAGATATGGCATCAAATAAGAGACAAAGGGAAGAGGAAGAAAGGAAGGAGAAGGAAAGAAAAAGAATGCGTATTGAAGCACGTAGAAACAAGAGAGAACATGAAGACAAGTTACCTGCAGAAAAGGTAGAGAAAGAAATGAAAACCCTGGCCATTGTATGATTCTTTATGGTCTGCCTCATTTCATTATATCTATCTTTTTGCAATGTTAGATATCACTTGTATATTGGGCTGTCTTGTGTAGGATGGAAGAGGCCCTGGGGGTAAGGAATCTAAGGATGAAATGGCAAATAAGAAAATGGAGGAAGAAAGGGGATATGACAATAACATAAATATTTCGGAGACTAAGCCTAGTACTTCCAGGATTTCAATAAGCAATGCTGGAAAAGAAAGTATTGTCCACGAAGAGTTCCACGAGGCTTCTAGTAATTATGGATATAAAGCAGAGGTAAATGCAAATGATTTTTTAACAACCAATACCCACCATATCTTAGGATCTACTTGCATATATTGAGTGCTTTCACTTGTGTAGGCTGGAGCATGATGATAATCCTCTGTTAATGGAGTTTGAAAGTCCAGATGCAACTTTGAATATTCTCTTGATTGCTCATGAAATCCACAATGGTGAGAAGAATGCTAATATATAGAAAACAAGCCAACAAATACGCTAGTCCCATCGTGTTGTCCTGACTGATTGCATAGTTGAATTACATTGATCCATAAAGGAAGAACAAATTACACTCAAGTGTTCAACTACTTACACTGAAATCTGTAGGCGCAGCAGCCAGCCACCAAGTCTATTTACACTGGCATTCTAGCAAGCGGTGCCAATAAGCCCTGCTCTCTTCATCCATGGTGTTTGTGGACAAAAATATGTGTATGCAGCTACCACAAGATGACAGAGGCATTGAAAGATGAGTAAGCATTCCGCCATATGGAAACCGCAGCAGTATATATATACAAAAGTACCTGAGTGGTTGATGTAAGCTAACATCGTTTTCCCTCTGATAATCCTATCTTCACAGTTCAATAGTTTTCTCTCTGGACCGATGAAGTCCCATATACATTCAATCTATAGCTGTTCAATAGAGCTGAGGTCTAGAGGTCCCTGTACTGGAAGGAATTGCGAGAGTGGGAGGTGTTGAAAGTCCATTTCCATCCAAAATATTTAAAAATTGACGGTCCAGAAAATCAGAGCACCATTTGATAATCCCATCTTTACAGTTTTGCTTGCTCGCTGCATCAATTAAACCGATAAATCTGTTAGTCCCATCACATGTACCAGAAGATTACAGTTATGGTGCAAACGGGAGAAGTATGAGAAATCATCCAGGGATTTACCTCTTCTCTTGCAGGAGAATCATATATATTGACCCCAAGTAGTTCCACAGTATCAGACTACAAAAAATTCACTCCCCTTGCACTCTCCTGTAATTTCATTGGAATTGGACTCTGAAACTCTAATTTAAGCTGGAATATTGCTGAGGACAATCAATTTAATAATAAATAAAAAAAGTACCTGGCTTTTGTCTTGAGAGTTGAGAGTTGAGAGTTGGAGAGAGTGAAATGAAAGCTCATATGATGGTGATTTCATCATCTACGTTTATGCAAGGAATGCGAGCTATGTTTCTCCAATCTTTTCCCTTCTTGTTCCCATACCTCCTCTTCAGAGAAGGACAACCCCGGATCTTCAGATAAGAAAGAGATGCCGGCAAACCCTCTTTTGGCAGGAATTTGAGACTCTCGCAGCCTGAAATTTGTAACTGTTGAAGAGAAGTGAGGTGCTCAAGTCCCTTTCCGTCCAAAGATTTCAGATTCGATACATCAGAGATTTCGAGAGTGTGAAGAGTGGCAGGGAGCAGCTGTTCATTGAGCAACGTCTCCACCAGATCCCAGTTAACGATAGATAATGTTTGTAGATTGGGAGGCAAACCCCCTTGTGCAAATGACACCACATTTGGAAGACACTCTATCGACAAATGTTGAAGGGCGGTGAGGGTGTGCATTCGGTCCGGCAACAACTTCAAATTCACGCAATGGTCTACTGAAAAGTAAGTCAGGTTGGGAGTGGGCAATCCTCCGTCAGGAAAAGAGACAAGATTTGGAAGACTGCCTATCAATAACCTTTGAAGGGCGGTGAGGGTGTGCATTCGGTCCGGCAACAACTTCAAATTCTCGCAGTTGTAGACATGAAAGAAAGTGAGGTTGGCAGTGGGCAATCCCCCGTCGGGAAAAGAGACAAGATTTCGACATATCTGGATATCCAGGTAGTTGAGATGGCGGAGATTTTCATCTGCTCCTCCTTCAACTGAAAGAGATTCCAGATTCTGACAACGCATTATACGAAGAGATGAAAGGTTGGGGAAAATGCCCAAAGGGAACGACCTCATCTCACCTGATAGAAATTCTAATTTCTTGCAATTTACTATACGGAGTGACGTCAGCGTGGTGGGCAGACCATTTGTAGGGAACGACAAGAGTGAGCAACATTCATATAATGTCAAACTTTGAAGATGATTGCTGTTGTGCACCATTTGCGGCAACCACTCTCTCCCACCATCATCGTAAATATCAAGACTCTGAAGCGACGGCAGCGTCTCCGTCGACTCGAGTAACAATGAGAGACCCGGACATCCCTTTATTGTCAGTTGTTCAAGAGATCGTCGTAAGGATTCCGTGTTCAGAGTATTACTGGCCCTGTTTTCATGTAGAACCTTACATCCATCGACCCAAAGGATTTTCAAGGAAGGAAGATGAGTGGGCAAGCTTCCTCTCAGCTTCGGACATTGGCGTAACCTCAGCTCCTTAAGACGAGGAAAGCCTGGACTTTCACCTCCACTTGGACTTGGCTGCCATTCTTCCCACTCTGGCATCTCCCGAAACTCTAGCTTCTCTAAACATTGAAATGGTTGATTTCCCCCGTACAACTCAACACCAACACTCTTAACAACTTTCATCCTTTCTACGTAGAGCTCTTTCAGAGCAGGTAGCTGACCAACTAGTGGCAATGAACTGCAATTACTACAGTCATTGAGACGCATCACTTGTAAGTTGGAGAAGGACGAGTCTCCCACCCAATTCGGGAAACTGATTCCGCCATAACACCTGACGGTTAGTTTCACCAAATTTACCGAAGGCTGTAGTCTTTCGAGTACATGTCTCTCTTTTACAAAATCATCGGAAACTTCAGGACCCCATGCCAACTCTACCTCTTTGAGATCTTTCTTATCCTTCAACAACGCATCAATAGCACCGACTACATTTTGCAGATTCAAGATGGAAATTTTTCCTCCAAGGTGCGACAACTCCCTCAGTTCTCCAATATTGGACCCAGTAGATTTCCCCAGCACAAAAGCTGTCAGTGTTCTCAAACTTTTTAGTCTACCCATATGCACCGGCATCTCTTTTATTTTAGTTCCACCAATATCAAGATGACGCAAATGAATCAATTTCCTCATGTCTGCAGGCAATTCAACAAGAGAAGAACAACCTAACAACAATAGAGTTTGTAAATTGTAGAGAGTACACACTCTATCTGATAACCTTTTAATTGCCGTATAAGAGAGATCAATGTAGCGCAAGTGCATGTGGTTACCAATGGAATCAGGTAAGTGAGTGATATTCATATATCTTGATAATGAAATTGCCCGTAAACATTTTTGTGCTGGCAATAAATCATCTAGAATCTTATTGCTTACATATCCACCATTCCAACTATAATGTGGTGGTAAAGACACTGGAAAGAAGGTACGCAAACACTTAACTCCTTTTAATGGCTCAAATATTGGAGATGTATCAAATTTTCCTCTCATATATGACAAGTGGCGAACTTTTTTAGAAACTTCGTGCGAATTTTTTTGATCCAACCTCAAACAAAACTCTCCAGACACAAACATAGCCAAGTCATTAATAAGATCATGCATAGTGAAACTTGGTTTATCCAATCTTGGTCTTTGAAATAGTGAACGCGATAACAGTTCATTAAAGTACCTTTCACCAACCTCCTCCATTGCTTTCTTGCTCTCTAATTGTGGAATTAAACCTTCTGCCACCCATAGTAGAATAACATTTTTCTTTTCAAACTCATAGTCCTTTGGAAAGATTGAGCAATAAGCAAAGCATCGTTTCAAGTAAGCCGGAAGATAGTGGTAACTCAATCTTAGAGAAGGAAGAAGACTATTAGGGTGTGGCAGATCCCAAAGATTACTATCCAATATGTGATTCCACTCCTTGTAGTCTAGGTTGCAACTTAAGAGACCCCCTAGCGTTTTTGCGGCTAGAGGTAAACCGTTGCACTTACGTGCAATTTGCTTACCAATTTCAACCAAGTCTGGATGTGCACCGGGGTTTTCATTTCTAAATGCATGTTTTTCCAGTAACGACCAGCAGTCTTCATCCAACAATTCTTTTAAATCGTGAATAGGAATAGTATTGTGCACGATGGCTGCAACACGCCTGCTCCTTGTTGTTACAATGACCTTACTTCCCCTTGCCCCATACGTGAAAAGAATTCGTAGACGCTCCCAGTCATCATAGTTTTCATTCCAAAGGTCATCCAAGACAAGTAAAAATCTCTTTCCACTCAGTTGTTCCCTTAGTTGAACTTCAAGGGAATTCATCTCCAAATTTTCACAAGGCTTTTTAGTGATTTCCTGAATAAGGGCCTTAATAACCCTCAAAGCCTCATACTGTTCGGAAACACAAACCCAAGCATGAATGTCAAAGTGCTTTTTAACTCGTTCATCGTTGAAAAGGAGTTGAGCAAGAGTTGTCTTACCAACCCCGCCCATACCGACTATAGGGACTACAGAAAAATTACTGCTACTTTCATTGTCAGATAACAGCAGTAGATCTTTTAACTTGTCTTTATCTCCATCCCTACCATAGGTATAAAATCCGCCCTCAACAACAGAAGTTGTGGGAGTTCTTTGTGAAACATTGCCTCCAACAACATCTTCTCTAAGACGGAGGATATCTTTTTGATTTGCAAGGTGTTCCAACTTCTTGAATAAAACTTCTATCCTACCATTCATGCCTTTATAATTAAAAGGTTTACGACAGGTAGAAAGGAAGTTCCACACCTGGGTTTTCTTAGTCTGATCTTTCGCCTTGCGACGCGAAACTTCAGTATCGATCTCATCCACCAAGTCCTCGGCCTCGAACACAGCATGTTTGAGCTCATCAAGCCACTTCCCGACGTCAGGGTCGACAATCTGCTTCTCCTCAGCGTCGTTGAGCACTGCACGGAGATTCACCAACTTCATCTTCAGTGTGTCCAGGAGTGAATAGTCGAGTCTTCCTGCCCGGAAGAAGTCTATGAACTCTCCGGAGGCAATCTTGTCGCACAGCAACTGGATGGAACCGGAGAGCAAAGCCTCTCCAACGAAAGCCATTTTCTCGTCTTGGCAAAAGGACTAATTTTGATCAAGTATTTGGAGTTGACAAACTGAAAATTATTCTTGGCAAAGCCTGTAAGATTACTTCATGACTGGTGAGACGACTTGATCTTTTTCTTGGTCAATAATGCAGTGGACCACACACGGCAAACATAAAGTATAAAGTGGTGGAAGTTGGGAAACGTTTCCATCCAACATTAATTTATTAATTATTTTCTTCCATAAAATAATCGTTGTTGGTCATGAACATTGGTGGAGGTTGGAAAACATTACATCAACCATTAATTTATTTATTATTTTCAATGTGTCTAAAACATTAACCGGTATATCAAGTATAATAATACAATTGATCGAAATTTTTTTTTTCAAGTTTCTAATTCAATTGTCTTAGTACACTTGGCATAACAAGCCGTGTTCCTGACATATTGATTAATCTCCCCACACATCAAGAGGCCTAAAATATATCAATCTTCTTACCCTTAGTATAACGGTTATAATTATTATAATTTAAAAATGATCCTCTTACTTGTAACCGTTAGATGTGTTAGTGAGAAGGATCTGCCCCTTACGCTCCGACCACACACGTCAAACATAGAGTAGTAATTGGTGGAGTTTGGAAAAACACAGTAAAAAGAGGGGTGTGCTATCCACATCTCTTTTTATTTTTTCCACTCCTTGTTAATTTTTGTAATTTGATATTCTTTAATTCATCTGATCCGACGGTGAAAAATTAAAAAAATAAGAAAAATAAAAAATAATATGTGGATATCACATCCCTAAAAAGAATCACGCAATACATTTGGATCTCAACATTTTTCCGTATGATAAGATCACATGTTCCCACCATCGTCTTGTAACCATCGTCTTGTCACCATCTTGTCATTATTTCTACTCTGGTTCTAATTCCAAGGGGAACATCTTCGTGTGAAAAATAAAGTAAAAGTTTCTGGCAGGACCTCAATGTTGGGTTGAATTTCTACAATTATTATTTACATTTTATACTTTTAATCTCAACCACTATTATACTTTTAATCTCAACCACTTATTTTCTACAACATTCATTATCATGTGCTATGGGGAAAAAAAAAATAAAAATAAAAACTTGAAAAGTTTCTTGCTTTTTCTTGCTTTGCCTATATTTTCAACATTAATGGGACCATTCGTGTTTACGATTTGGTTTGCCTATTCATTCAACGTTCATGGGACCATTCTGCTTTGCCTATATTTTCTTGCGTTAACCAATTTTGACTCAAAGTTAACATGTTTTTGCACAAAACTAATTAAGAACACACTCGAGTTCCATACCTTATATTGTCAAATTATCGAATTTGATGCCGCATAATTATACAAAAGTGCATTTAGATTAACAGTGCACTTCCTCTTTTACATCTAAATTTGAACCTCCATTTTTATCGCTATAATTTATACGAGTTTAATATAAATTATCTTATCATTTATTAAAAACCCCACTTCATAAATAAGTAGATGCGATATGTTTAAATGCAAATCTGTAACAAAAACAATGGAAAAGAATAAGTACAGATGTTTATGGATAGCAAAGGTCTCGAAAACATATATACTCCACAAAATCTAGCACGAGAGTATTGAGCCTAGATAATATAACCTCCTCCCCAATACTAATTTATAGCTGATTTATTTTGTGGTTTAGCTAAAATCACCAATTCTCATTATCATTGTACAAATAAATAAATAAAGAGTAAATAGTAGCAATAGTTTCTTTAACTTTAATCAAATTGGTTAAAGTTAAGGGACTATTGCTCCAATTGAGTTAAAATTAAAAGATTATTTCTCCAATTGGATTAAAGTTAAGAGATCAATGTTAATGAATTTTTAGTTGAGGGACCGCACGTTTTGATGGGTTAAGGAACTAATGATAATAGATTTGTAGTTGATGGACTATTGCTCCAATTAAGTTAAAGTTAAGGGATCATTGCTACAATTTATTCATAAATTAAACAAAGGTAAGAAGAGATATGAAATATTGCAGAAGAATTGTTATTGACACTCCAAAAAAATCATTATGCATTTGTGTAACAAAGTTATCAAGGATGGATTGAGTGCACGATGACTTTCTTTTGCTAATAACAAATTCCTAAAGTGGATCACATTATTAATATTGCTTTTGGAAAGAATTTCTGTTATCTGCATCTTCTACATATATAAAGTCAAAAGGGAAAACAGGTGAAACATTTAATATTTCAAAATTGCCCCTTTTATTACAGGTTATATAAGAGTAAAAATGTAAGGACATGATGGTAAAACCAGGCAAAGGAGAGAAAGTGGAGGAAAAAACTAGAACATGCTTACAGAAAGAAACTATATTTGAAGCATCCGTTTGGTTGCCCAGCCCACAAAAAAAATAAAATAAAATAAAAATCCCACAATTAAATCTACAAACAACGGAAATGTGACACTGATGTTAGCAAACTTTTATGGTCTTCAATCTCGATAATTTATGTGCACATTGGAATCCATACTTCATACTTCACTTGTTTTTGTTGATCTCTTGTGATAGGATACTGTGTGATAACTGAATTGGTTGATAAGTAAGCATTGTATTAGTGCTGACTAGGACAGATATGTATGGTTAAAAAGGATAAGGTTGTTAGTAGTAAGCTTACGGAGGAAGCTAACTAGCTACTATATTAGAAAGGATTGTAAACGGAAGGGTCGTTGTTGTAATTGTTGTTAATTGTAATAGAAAGTTACTTGTTACTGCTACATAGAAGTCAAGATGCAGAGTTAGGGTTCTATCATTGGTATCACCGCCAGTGCATTCGATCCGGCTTGATCCTTCTTCGTGTATGACTCGGCTCGGTTCCAGACGCACCATGGAAACGAGAGTATCTCAGCTTGAGTCCCTATTTGCTGATTTCCAGAAGGAGTTCAAAGATTCCAGGCATGAATTTCAAGAATCAAGAACTGAATTTCGAAATGCCCATGAGCTGATTTTGCAGCAATTGCAGGTGTTATCGACGAGAGGTAGTGGGTTGATGGGCGAATCGTCGGAAGGGACACATTCTGATCACAATTTACCGCCGGGAGTGAATCCTCAGTTTGTTCGTCAAGAATCGATTCCGTCGCCTCGACAACCATTTATCAAGATCGATTTTCCCAGATTTAGTGACGGCGATGACCCCTTGGGGTGGATCTACAAAGCAGAGCACTATTTTGATTTCTTCGGTGTCGAGGATTTCAAGAAAGTAAAGATGGCATCATTCCATCTGGATGGCGAACCTCTACAATGGTTCCAATGGGCTAATTGTATCCGGACATACCCTAGGTGGGAAGATTTCACTCAAGCTCTTTGTCAAGAATTTGGTCCGTCGGAGTTCGACGATTCGGCAGAAAGCTTGGTTAAACTTCGCCAAACGGGATCTCTGCGTGATTACATCTTGGAGTTTCGAAGATTGGCGAATCGTACAAGGGAAGTTACCCCATCTCTCTTGCGATCTTGTTTCATTGGTGGTCTTAAATCGGAGCTGCGTCATGATGTCAAAATCCTAAAGCCCAGAGACGTTCTGGAGGCCACTGCTTATGCTCAACAGATCGATGCCAAGTTGTCTGAATTAAAGGTCAAGTCTTTTCCTCGTTCATCTGTTAATTCTTCGTTTCGTCCTCCATTACAGAATGTTGCTGATACTGTTGTGGGAAATAACAAATTCAAACATGAAAATGTGAGGCGATTGACACCTGAAGAGGTCGAATACTGTCGGAAACATGGTCTTTGCTTCCATTGTAAGGAAAAATTTGTTCGCGGCCACACTTGTGAGAAGAAACAACTTTTATTGATTGATGTTCAGTATGGTAGTGATAATGAAGCCTCTGACATTGAAAATTTGGAACCTGAGATTACAGCATGTGCCCTTTTTGGTACCCCAGCTCCTAAGTCAATTAAAACCATGAAGGTTCTTGGTAGTATTAGGAATTGTCCGGTGGTAATACTTATCGATTCTGGTAGTTCCCATAACTTCGTGGATTCTGTGTTGGTCAAGAAAATCAATGGACAATTGAATACAGATCATTCTTTTAGTGTCAAGATTGCGGATGGGGGCCAAGTCAAGACTACAGGTTCTTTAGGGGCTGTTTCACTCAAGATTCAACAAGAATCTACTATATTAGAAAGGATTGTAAACGGAAGGGTCGTTGTTGTAATTGTTGTTAATTGTAATAGAAAGTTACTTGTTACTGCTACATAGAAGTCAAGATGCAGAGTTAGGGTTCTATCATCTTGGCACATCTATACTAAATTGTTTGGTGTTAGTCGGTTTGTTTGATTCATATTTCAATTTTGTAAGTAGCCAGAGTATCTTAGGAAATGAAAATATCAAAAATAAAATAAACATTTGTAAATAGTGTCAAGCGCATGTAGTTATAAATTTGTAAGTCACACGTAGCATGCCTGATTAAAGGCCTTTAATCCATGTCCCATTGTTAGCACGCCTGATTAAATGCCTCTAATCCATGTACCAATTGTTAACAATGATAAACAACTAATGCAACATATTTTAGGGGTGGGTAACGCCTGTGATTAAAAAACCTTACGCGCATGCAGAGATGCTAGTTTAGAGTAAATAAAGAAGACTGTACATACGCAAATGTGGGATAAACTAGGGTTGGATACGGCCAGGCCAAACTCAAAATTGAAGCAGATGGACCGGACCCGTTTGTAACTGAAATGTGACGGGACAGTGCTGGTCTTGTTAGCTGAGAAATGAAACCGGACTTAACCTGACTCGTTTGAAATGAACCTGTTCCTACAGGTCCAAGGGTCATTTTTTTATATAAATTTTTTGTTAATAAACTATGACTGTTGTGCTTAAAGTATAAGCTGGGTGTGCTTGAACAAAATAGCTGTTGTGCTACAAGTAAAAGCACAATAAATTATAGTGGAGTAGCCTACCATCACTTTTCAATTTTCATAAGTTCCAAGTGAGCCGAAGGCAAAGGCTAACAGTCAGCCAAAATGCCCAACTGAAAATATAGAAAAGAAAGTACACAAACAGCAAGTTACAAAATGATTGTCCTTTAAACCAAATCATGGTGACGCCAAATTGCCACAAACCAACTTGCAAATTTGAATTCTTCAAATCTAGAAGACAATCTTAACTCCATGCAACCTCCCTAATAAAATTAAATCAATCACAAAACCCTAATAGCAATTGATTAACATGAGATTAATAAATTTCATCGAAAATCTAATTAGATAATACCTTTAAATTAACCACAAAAATAACAAAACCGCATCAAAATCCCAATTTTCAATTCCACTGTAGAGAGAAATCGAGTAGATCCCCCAATAAAATGAAACATGCAAATGAGAATTAAATAATTACAACTCAAATTAAAAGCTTATGCTTTCATAGACATCTGAATTCTTGAAAATTTACCCATCTAGGCGGTAGCCCCAATTAGTCGAAATCGATCGAGCATGAGAGATTTTCTTTCATAGACATTTGTTTTACTAGACATTTGCTTTCAAACGAGCATGAGAGACTCATGTAGAACAAGATATGGATTAATTTTGAAGACATCCATCATATGGTAAATTATTAGAATTGGATATCTACTTTTCCCTACAATAATAACTGGGTGTTGTTATTGGAACTCAACTCACAATCAAAATATAATTATCATTCATTTTTCTCTCTTCGTGGCCAAAGGACTAATTTTGATCAAGTATTTGAAGTTGGGAAACTGAAACTACATTTATGTGCTCATCTGAAAACCACATTTATTTGATCACGTTTTCTTTCATTACTTTTTTTTATATACATTTTCTAACATGCCATTACATAATCTGATCTCTTTTTAATTGTATTATTGTATCAGGTAAAAAAAACCACATTTATGGTAAGGACTTTATGCAGAGCGGGCGGGAACCACCAATATTTTGGTGGTTCTGTCAAATGCCTTAATTGTTGCTGAAGATTCAAGAGTTACAGCATTTTATGGTGAAAGTAATATTTCTTTATCTTTAACTAACAAATTGATTATTACTCGACTATGTTTATAGTATATGCAGTATATTAATTGGTTCTAATTTATATATACAGTTCGACCCGAAGAAAAGAAAGTTAAACGCATTTCTAAGAATCCTCCAACACGAGCAACATGATGTCATGATCAATGTGATGCGCATTATATGTTAGGACATATATTCACAAGGAAGATATTAGAGTCCATTAGGAGAGAGCAATGCTTCTTTCCTTGCTTGGAAATTCGCCTATTTTTCCCTCTTCCACTTCACAAGGACTTGTATCAGGAGGTTTGAATGCATTCATATTGATCATGACACCATGTTGCTCGTGTTGGAGGATTCTTAGAAATGCATTTAACTTTCTTTTCTTCGGGTCTAACTGTATACATAAATTAGAACCAATTAATATACTACATATACTATAAAAATAGTCAAATAATAATCAATTCGGTTGTTAAAGATAAAGAAATATTACTTTAGCCGGAATATGATGTAACTCTTGAATATCCAGCAACAATTAAGGCATCTGGCTGAACCACCAAAATATTGGTGGCTCCCGCCTGCTCTGCATAAAGTCCTTACCATAAATGTGGTTTTCTTTGCCTGATACAATAATACAATTAAAAAGAGATGAGCACACAATCAAATTATGTAATGGCATGTTAGAAAATGGATATAAAAAAACGTAATGAAAGAAAACTAAAGACAGAAAACTTGGTTTTACTTACTGTCTTAGAGATTTTCTGTTTAATTGTTCTCATCAAATTGTTTGTCTACTTTCATTTGGTCTTTTATAATGTATAAGATTGTGTTTGAAGGGGTGAATATACTGATGAACTGAACGCAGTCAAACCTCATGATACAAGTCCGTGTGAAGTGGAAGAGGGAAAAATAGGCGAATTTCAAAGCAAGGAAAGAAGCATTGCTCTCTCCTAAGAGGGAAAAATACCGACTATAGGGACTACAGAAAAATTACTGCTACTTTCATTGTCAGATAGTGTTTTTAACTTTTCTTTATCTTTATCCCTACCATAGGGACAGAATCCTTCCTCAACTACGTAAGTTGTGGGAGTTCTTTGTGAAACCTTGCGCCCAATACCTTCTCTAAGACCAAGGCGATTTCGCTGTTCTGCAAGGTGTTCTAACCTCTGAAATAACTCCTCTATCCTACCATTCATGCCATTGTAATTAAAAGGAATACGAGAGGTAGAGAGGAAATTGCACACCTGGGAATCAGAAAACACATTCATCAGGATTTGAACCCATGGGAATCCTGCAAGGTGTTCTAACCTCTGAAATTATAAACCGATTAAAGTTTCAGCAACAAGGAGATTACTCAATCAGAAAACACATTCATCAGGATTTGAACCCATGGGAATCAGCTGTAATTAATAATTATCAATAATTAAAAGTAATGAACCAGAAATTCTAGCAAAAATAATTCGCAATTGCAGAAATACAGTAAAATCTGCATTCCAATCAAACAGAGGGCATGGAAAATCGAAGTGTGGATGGGAATTTACAGACCTGGACGAGCTAAACTAAATTTCAGGCCTAACTAGTAACTACATTATTCAGACACAATCCAAAACAATACTGCTATGTTATATATTCTAAACAAAATTAGCTTACTGTAACTCAACCATTGAAGCCCACCAATTAGGGCTGGGTTCGGTTTAAAACGGTTCGGTTTTTTGCCAAAACCGAAACCGAACCGAAATTTCGATTCAGTTCGGTTCGGTTATTTTTTTTTTCGGTTCGGTTTTTTTCGGTTTCGGTTTTTTCCGGTTCGGGTTTCGGTTTTTTCGGTTTTTTTTTTCTTTCAAAAAATGATGTAAATAATGGAAGGAGCTTACCTATCAACCTCCCAATTCTCATATATCAGAGAATTGAGAACCTCAAAATCCTGAATATAACTTTAAAATTTGCAAAATCATGAAATAATTCAACAAATTAACTGATGCAGATCAAAAAAAAAAAAAAAAAAAGCAAATGGGTTCGTCTAAATGCCATAATCGAACTCCAATATCACATGTCCAGTGCCCATATTCAAATTCATAGTCTAGTCCACAATAGATCTAGAAAATTCCAAAACATATTCAGAGAAAAATACAAACTTTTCCACCTTAAATTACATAAATTTCAAATGGGTAACCTAAAATTAAAAACCCATAAACTGAAAAATAGATAAAACCCACAACCTTTGCTGCAGCGATATCGCAGTGATCGTCGCAAGCTCTTACAATTCCTCTTTTCGTCGGGTCTCGAAAGGGGCGAGGGAAAATCATTGTTTGGAAGAAAGAATCCACGAGGAGGACAAGAGAAGACTAGAGAGAGTGATTTGGAGGAAGAGAGGAAGGAGAGGGAGAGAGAGAGAGACTGAGGAAGCAGAGAGGAAGCCGCGGCGGGGAGAGAGACTTTGAGATCTGAAAATGAAATGGGAATGGGACACTGACGACTAGGGTTTTAAGCTTAAGAAATTTTATAAACCATTCAATATAAGAAACCTATAAATAATATACTAGTACAATTATAACAATAGAAAGCCTACAGTCAAGTTGGCTGACAGTACCTAAACCCAACCTACAGGTCAGGGGTTCGAACCTTGATGCTAACATATTTTTTAGTATTTATATATATATTTTTTTTCGGTTCGGTTTCTAGACCTCAAAAACCGAAACCGAACCAACCAGATTCGGTTCGGTTCGGTTTGGCAGTTTCGGTTCGGTTTTTTTCGGCCTCGGTTCGGTTTGGTTTTCGGTTTTTTTCGGTTTTCGGTTATTTGAACCCACCCCTACCACCAATCCCCCTATAATCCAAAACAACACTTCTCTCCGTGCTTGGCAATTGCAGCCAATCCATCCCCCTATAATTCGTGCAGGTCCTATTTCCCCATCCCCTATAATTTTATTCCACAAATTCGTGCACCCACCCTCCCAAAGACCTGCAGGTCCTGCACTGCACCCACCCTAAACCGGAACCCATCCAACCTGAAACCCTCCCAAAAACCTGCACCCATCCTAATCCGAAACCCACAGTCCTCAAACCCTCACACATTCGACAAAATGCTCAGAAATCAAGTTAATCAACATGAAATTTGACCCTAAACCCTAAAGAAAAGCCCAGCTTACCTGGATTTTGGGTCTCGATTCGTGTCAGATTCGCATCTTCCTGCGTCTGTGTGTGTGGCCGGATGAGCGTCGTTGAAGTGAACGGAGGAGCGGCGTTCAAACTGGACGGGCTTGACGGAGGACGGGAGGAGCGCTGGAGCGCCGTTTGACCTTTGTTCTTCGAGAGAGAGTGAGTGAGCGATTGAGAGAGAGAGAGGGACCTAACTTACAATGGTCATTAGGATTTAATCTTAACCAATCTTACGGTGCAAGTAATTTCTAATTATAAATTAAAAATATATATATTTATATATATAATATTTGGTTCGGTTCGGAATGACTGAACAGTTTCAAAGATGAGGCTGAATCCCAAACCAAAACATTTCGGTTTCGGGTACCGAATATTTCGGGAAATTTTCGATCAAAATTTGGGAAGGATTAGGGACGGTTTGGGATTTTCAAGAAAAAATTCCATTCCTATAAATTTGAATCACTATTCTTATCTCTGTAATTTAGATGAGTTTATTATAAATTATCTTATATTTTGTTAAAAAATCCATTTCATAAATAAGTAGATGTGATATGCTTAAATGCAAATCTGTAACAAAAGCAATGGAAAAGAATAAGTACAAAAACGGAATCGTTGCCTTTTATCTCTAGGTAAAATAGAGCACCAAGATGGTCATCAAAGAGGTTTTGATTACGACTGCCCACTTCACCTTCTACGAATTCAACATCAAGGACAATCAATGGGTTCGTTTCCCGAATCGTAACTTCCAGTTCTCCATTTGGTTGCCCACAGAAAAAAAACCACAATTAAATCTTCAAACAACGGAAATTTGAAGCATAAAGTGAGAACAAATAGGTCGAAATGTGACACAGATGTTAGTAAACTTTATGGTCTTCAATCTTGATAATTTATGCACACATTGGAATCCAGACTTCACATATTCGCTTATATTTGTTGATCTCTTGGCACATCTATACTAAATTGTTTGGTATTAGTCATTTTTTTAATTCATATTTCAATTTTGTAAGTAGAAAAGGTATATTTGTAAATGAAGATATCAAAATAAAATAAAAATTTGTAATTGCGCCAAGCACATGTAATTATAAATTTGTAAGTCACGCGTAGCACGCCTGATTAAAGATCTCTAATCAATGTACCATTGTTAGCACACTTGATTAAAGGCCTCTAATCCATGTACCAATTGTTAACAATGATAAATAACTAACGCAACACATTTTAGGGGCGGGTAGCGCTTGTGATTAAAAAAATGCCTAACGTGCATGCAAAGAGGCTAGTTTAGAGTAAATAAAGAAGATTGTAAATATGCAAATGCGGGATAAGTTAAGTGTGGATATGGGGTAGGCTAGACTCAAAATTGAAGCAGACGGACCAGACCCATTTGTAAATGAAATGTTGCAGGGTAGGGCGGGTCTTGTTAGTTGAGAAATGAAACCAGACTTAACCTGACTCGTTTGAACGAACCGGTTCCTACAAGTTCATGGGTCCTTTTTTATATATATAATGTTTGTTAATAAGTTATGACAGTTGTGCTTGAAGTAAAAGCTGGTGTGCTTGAACAAAATAGCTGTTGTGCTCCAAGTCAAAGCACAATAAATTATAATGGAGTAGCTTACCATCACTTTTCAATTTTCACAAACAGCAAGTTAGGCTATCTCCAACCGAGGGCTGGTCAGATGGCTCGTTTTAGCCATCTGACCCTCAAAGATATTAAGGTCATCTCCAACCGAAGGTTGGCCAGTAGGCTCATTTTAGCCCTCTGGCTTTCCAAGATATTAATATTTTAATGAATAGTACAAGGCCATATTTGCATCAATCTCCAACTGAGGGCCAAAGGCCCGGAGGGCTCATTTTAGCCCTATCACAAAAAACTTAGCCCTTGGTTGGAGACGGATTTCGGGCTATTTTTGGCCCTCTGGACAGGCCATCTCCAACCAAGGGCTGGCCAGAGGGCTCGTTTTAGCCCTATGGCCCTCCAAGATATTAATATTTTAATGAACAGTACAGAGTTATATTTACCTTCATCTCCAACCGAGGGCTAAAGGGCCATAGGACTCGTTTTAGCCATATCACGAAAAATCGTCTCCAACCGAAAGCGGTCGGAAGAGGCAGAAACGCCTCTGTGAGTCTTTCTAACCCCTGAATGGGTGGATATGGCTAAGCCATTAGCTAGTCTCCTTTTTAATAAGATAAAAATATATATATACACACACACACACATTTGCTACACCAACTAGTATAGGTAAGTCCACATTAGGCTAGGTTACAAAATTTAAACTTAAAAGCCGCAGACTTGGGTGGCTAGAGCAATGTGGTTCGAATCCTTGTTTTCATATCCATAATTTAGCTAAATTTAGTGTGGATCATCTTATCGTTTTTTCATAAATCCCGTGTAACGAATAATTCAATGTGATATGTTTAAATGCAAAACTTGAGCGAAACACAGTGAAATGATTAGAAACTATCTCCACCACATATCTGTACCAAAAACAATGGAAAAGAACAAGTACAAATGTTTACATGAGAGAAGTTGTAAGGACTTGGATTGTGAGGGTCATCTCCACTTTGAAAGTAATAGCTGAAAGTTGGAGGTTCATGCAGATTAAACCATTCGCCATTGATGAACACCTCAAAAGAGCGAAACCAGCCCTGCTGAAACTTTTAAGTACAAAATTAAAAAATAAACAGTTCAAAGATCCGACTTTGATTTGCATCAATGAAAGTTGCAACGAATGCGAACTATATTGCCTCAATCTTTTCAATTCATATTCTTTGCACACCTCTTCTTCAGAGAAGAACAAACTTTTTGGTGATAGATGGCGGGAAATCCTCTTCTGGCAGGAATGCAAGACAATCGATGATGCATAGCTGAGCTGAGGTCCTTCTCCGGGCAGGAATTCCGAGAGTGCGTGGTGTTTTGATCCACAGATTTCAAACTTGATCGTCCAGACGGTGTGAGTGGAAGAGAGCCGCTGTTGTTTGAGCAATGTCTCCAACAGATCCTCACGTCCCCTGATCTGAAATTCTCCAAGGGAGACATAGCACAGCTCGATTCCACTGTTAAAAAATACCCGATATTATAAATGCAAATATAGACAAGGCAAAATGAAAAAAGCAAAAGAAAAGGAAGGTAAATTACAATTTACAAATCATCAGTGTTAAACCGAGAATCGATATTTATCCTTCTGGTGAAATCTGTAGCGGAACAACCAGCCTCCTTGTCAGCCTCCTTGTATGGTAACGCAATGTACTGGCATTCATCCAAACACAGTTAAGTGGTGCTAAATACAGATTAGTGTCAAATTAACTTTGAAGACAATCAATTCTGTTGGAAAATTTGAGGACAATCAATTTAACATAACTACAGATAAGTGGTACTAAATACGTACCAGGCTTTGTCTTGAGAGTTGAGAGTTAGAGTGAAATGAAGGCTCATATGGTGATTTCATCATCTATCCTTATGCAAGGAATACGAGATATGTTTCTCCAATCTTTTCCCTTCTTGTTCCGATACATCTTCTTCAGGAAGGACAACCCCAGATGCTGAGATGAGAAAGAGATGCTGGCAAACCCTCTTTCGGCAAGAATTCAAGACTCTCGCAGCTCAAAAATTCGTAGCTGTTGAAGAGAAGTGAGGTGCTCAAGTCCCTTTCCGTCCAAAGATTTCAGATTCCATACATAAGAGATCCAGAGAGTGGGGAGAGTGGCAAGGAGCAGGTGTTCATTGAGCAACGTCTCCAGCAGATCCTTGTTTCCTTCGATCTGAAATTAATTGGCTCCTGTAGGAAGATTTAGTATTAACCACCCACCATAAAATGAACTTAAAGGTAGTCATTACAGAACAAAGCACACTATGGTTCATGAGCAAACTTAAAAGTAATCATTACAACTTATGACTATTACTAAGTTAAAGTTTTTTAGGGTGTCAAAGATTCGCCTCATCAAAATCTTGTGGGAGATTTCAACCCAGTTGAAGAAAAAAGAGTACCACACACCAACAAACTACAAGTTATGACTATCTAGCTTGTATTAATTAAAACATCCAAAATAATGTCCAGGGGAGTCTTCAAACTATAGCAACTCTTGATATCATGCAAGTCTATGTGCAACATTTTTTGGCCTCTCGTCTCACATAATATTGGACCAAACGCAGAATAATCCTTCTTCTTTTGCTACAGTCCCGCCAAAGATAGAGTGGAATTACTCTCCACTTCCACAGCTGCAGCCGCCATCGGCAGCCAACGACGCAGTGTTCTGGCCTAAAACGTATGTGGTAGAGAAAAATGAAACCCTACGCGAGCACT